AACGATCTCTAAGGGCTTTCCAAACATTAGTAATAAAAAGCCCATTATAACACATTACATTATGTCAAAAACATAATGCAAACTTTAGTAGTAAATTCTCTGAGTCTATGACTCTTGGGAGTGAAAGTCTTCACTGCAACAGGCAGGGACATAAGTTGCTCCCATGGGCATGTGGACATGGACACACACAGGTATTGAGCCACTCAAATCCTAATGCCTGAGGTTTGCTTTGCAGTCGCTGATTTTGATGGAGCAGTGTTGTCACCCCAGACTGCCTGAGATGGGCAGAGAAAAGACAACACATTTATTACCTGTGTGTACAATTTTGGACATTTTCTGGCCATGCTCAATTTGGAGCCATTTCAGAGGTCACCCTAACTCATGAGCTACAGGAGCTACATGACCTGCTCCTCCTGCCTGGTGGCACGGGATGTGGAGCAGCACAGCCACAGAAGGGAGGGCTGTGTCACAGGAACAGGACAAGGAGGAGCAGCAGGGACAGCTCCTGTGGGTCACCATGGCCATGGCCACTAAAGGGACACAGCCCCCAACACAGTTCTGCACATGGAGCTGAGGCTGCCAGGGACAAGGGACACCCATAACGAGCAGGATCAGGATAAGGATCCCAATTCCCCAGAAGGAGCATCTGCAGGGCAGCCCCAGCACAGGCAGCCCAGCCAGCCTGGCCCAGCAGGCGCTGCTCAGCCCCAGCTCCATGCCCAGGGCCTTCTGCTGCCACCAAGGCAGTGGCAGCCCCAGGGGCAGCAGGCACAGCAGCCCTGCAGTAGCAGGACACACAGACACGGCCCAGGCCTGCAATGCCAAAGTGCTCGTCTTTATTCAAGCTGGGAAAAGCAGCCCCTGCCCCAAAGACACCGGGGCTGGCACCACAGGGCTCCAGCCCAGCAGCACCCAGCAGGAGCAGCTGCCACTGCTGCTGCCAGCCCAGCTGGGCACAGCACAGCCACCGAGGCCAGGGGACATCAGCACATGGGGACATCAGCACATGGGTCCAGCAGCCAGAAGCGAGGGCCATGTCCTGCTTGGGAATTTCAGGGTCTCAGCCCCAGGGACTGTAAGAAGAAAAGAGACAAGCACATCAGCTGGTGTATCTTTCCCTGTCACTGTGTCCCCTGCCCTGCAATGCCCAGGGTGAGGTGCAGCAGAGTCAGGCTCAGGGGAGGTGAGGTGCAGTCCTTAGTGCAGCCAGGTTGCACCTGGGCTATCTCAGTGCTGGCAGCCTCGGCTCCAGGCCTGTGCAGATGCAGCAAGTTTGGGATCATGTCCTCAGTGCTGCCCAAGGACAGGGACTGTTTCCTGCTTTGGTGGCTTTGGTGAGTTGGAGAGACCCTGGCTGACCTGGGGCTGCTGCAGTCTGACTCCCAGGGCAGCTCCAAAACCCACAAAGGCTTTTCCCTCCCTTCTTTGGCATCTCTCCCACAAGGAATAGATAAGCAGATTATGTTGCAGACATTCACAGGAAATAAATTTGCTACATATTTCATTGTGGACAAAAGAGGGAACTCTGTCCTCAGGCAGGATTCCAGACCTTATCTCTTGCAGCACACACTGTACAGTGTGCATCTTCCAATGGGTCTCGCAGGGAAGTTGCATCTCCCATAAGTGCAGAATCCCCCTCTTTGCCTGCATCCAGCTGAATTTTGGGTTTCCATGGGGAAAGAAACATACAGAACAATTAAAGCAGTCATCTGTAATGGCAGTGTGTGGTTGCAAAAAGCTGGTGGTGTTTGTGCATTTCTGGCCAGTGGATGGATTCACCTCCAACCTCCCCACAGCAAAGATCACACACAGGGCAAAAGAATATTCAGAGACACCCCAAGAGGAACAGCTGGGTTCAGTGTGGAAGCCTGAAACCAAACCCCTTCCTGACCCACCAAAGAAGCCAGTAGTCTATTTCCATGGGCTCCTTCCACCCCAAGTCTGTGTCCTATAGAACTATCACTGGAGAAATACCTTTCTCCTCAATCCCCCCTTACCTTTGCATCACTCCCACTAAAGTGGTCACTTCCCAGGACATGGAAAACCCCAGTAATGGAGGATCACACCTCTCCTCATCTCCCCACTTTGCCTCTCACCTGAAGCACCCTGGACCAACAGGAGGATCAGGGGGAAGAGCAGGAACAGGATCTTCATGGCTGCTGCCTCTCCTGGGTCTGCACAGAGCTGCAGAGGAGACACCAAGGCAATGGGGACAGGCAGGACCCCAGCTGGGGCAGGAGCCTGGGCTCTGTGGTTCACCAAACTGCAGAGGGGCTGCCTCCAGCTACAACAGATGATGTTTCCTCTACTCTCCTCTTAAAAACAATTATTAGTTTTGTGCCTCCCTGACAACCTCAGGAGCATTTAATGATGTTTCAGTCTGTGGGAAATCCATTACCTCATCTGATCCTTTTCCAGGAGACCCCACAGTCACCCACCTGATGAAGATCTGGGTGTTAAGGCAGCCACAAACCCAACAAGAATCACTGTGTCCAGTGGCCCTCGGGTTCAAGGAGCACTTTTTTGGCCAAAACACTGATTTTATTTGTTGCAAACCATGGGGACATTCACTGATTTTTGCTGATACATCTCCCCTTGGCCAATCAGAAAGCCACCCATCCATATGGGGATGCTGGGGCTTCTCCTTTTCCCTCTCTGATGCAACAGCAGAGGCTGAGGGGCCTCCTGGGGCTGTTGCAATCAATGTCACTGTTGTCCCCATGCAACACCTCTTGTGACACCCATGGCACAGAGGCACCCAGGCTGTGGTGGCATGGCATGAACTGCCTGGGATGGACAAAACAGCCTGGTGGGTGCAGGCAGAAATAGGAGCCTGTCCCAACCAGTCTCTCCTGTGAGGGTAGTGAGGCCTTGGCACAGGTTGCCCAGAGTTTGCTGCCTCATCCCTGGAAATGTCCAAGGCCAGGTTGGACAGGGCTTGGAGCAACCTGGGATAGTGGAAGGTGTCCCTGGTTATGGTGGGGGTTGGAACTGGATGACCTTAAAAGCCCCTTCTTCCCCAAACCATTCTGAGATTCTCTGATAAGATATCTCTCTCTTCCTGTCCTCTCAGTTTGCTTAGGGAGCTGGTGCTTTGTGACACACAGAAACATTCAAAAAATGTTGTTTTCCTTCTCTTTTAGCATCACAAGAACAGCTTCATCCTTGCCAAGGTGACTTGCATTCCACCTGCCAGGAAGTGATAAGCCTAAGGATGCCTTTCTGATATCTACTCCAATTGTCAAGCAGTGCAAAGAGGAAATGCACTCAGGGGAGACCACACCTCACCTCATTCTGTCTGAATCCACTGCTTCTGATACTGCCCTACTTGGTACAAAATCCACAAATGTGGTTCAACAGCAGCAAAATGCTGTATAAAAATGGGCAATCTGTGGGAGATTAGTGAAGGAAGGTGCATAGGGCCTTATCAGGCCTTAGAGGTGTGGGCTTGATCAGGAGAGTTTTTGGATTTATAGGAATTCTGTGATATTTCAGAAAGATAAAGATCAAGGTGGCTTGTGGAGGAAAGATCATGAGAGAGAAAGAAGCAATGTATCCATGGCTGCTTCCTGGCCATGCCCTACATCCTTCTTATTACCTGTCCTACATTCCTAGTGAACTTTATTTGTAACCCTTTTTTGTACAGTTTGTGCCGTGTCTCCAGGGTGCTGGTCCATTGCTCAGAGACATCAAAGCTCCTGGAGCTGGATCCTGGAGAGGAGAATGGAAATTGAGGTTGGATACATCAGGGACACAGGGGCTGGTGTCATCTCTCAGAGAGACGCACAGAATCATGGAATGGTTTGGGTTGGAAGGAACTTTAGAATTCATCTCATTCCAACCACTTCCACTATCCCAGGATGCTCCAAGCCCCATCCAACCTGGCCTTGATGCATGATGGGGACATTCCTCGAGCATCAATCTGTAGAAGTAGGACTAGGTGTCCACTGCTGGGTCCTTGGAATATCTTTGCTCCTGGAGGTTTGGAACCAGACTCAGGACCAGCCCAGAGCCAGCACAGCCAGGGATTGCTGCTTATGGTGTGGAAATGACTTCTGTAATCCCCACTGCAGGGAGGCCATGGCTGGGGCCAGCCCTGCCTGGGAAGCTGCTCTGACCTGGGAGTCTTGTGCTTGACCCCATCAGAGCTGCAGCTTGGCCTTGCTGATCCAGACCCAGACTTGGACCCACGTCTGGCACCCTGATCTGACCCTGTACCCACAGCAATGCCCAAAACCCCAGCAGAGGCTGCTCCCACCCCTGGCTGCCCTGCTCCATGGAGGGGAGCACTGGGTGTCCCCAGCATCCCCGTGGTCACTGCCCCATGGCAGTGCTGGGGCCACCCCCATGGCACCCCTGAGCTGAGCATCCTGGATCTGCACACCAATCATCCACAATGACCCACCTGGGCTCCTAACTGAGCCCCCAGGCCTTGAAACCCTCCCAGCACTGACCCCCAACTCAATCCCAAGCTCCTGAGAAGCCCCATGGCACAGCCATCAGTCCCTATTTCCTGTGGAACAGAATGATTTCTCCCACCCCCCAGATACCCCTGGACCCCACAACACCCCTGGTGCCTCACAGCTGGGGATGGACCCAAGTACACCAGGCCAGTGTGTGTCCTGTGGAACACCCCCACAAGGACTCCTGACCCAGCTTGAGAGCCAGCGGACAACCAGCAGGTCCCCACTGAAATTAGGGTGATCACAGCCACCCCTCCACCCTGTGTGAGAGGTGCTGGGGTCCCCTTGCTGAGCCACAAGACTGGCATTGGGGTCCCTGTGAGTGTCACCTGTGTCCCCCCTCCCACCACGGGTGGAGATGCTGGTGTGGCTGAGGCCACCATGGAGAGAGGGTGGATGGTGGGACAGTGTTTGTGTCCATGTCTGCCAGGAATTCACCCCATCCTCTCTGCCCTTCCCTACACACAGAGGAAAGAGATGCACACCCAGGATACACATCTTGGCAGTGGCAATGACCACCACCTTATATTGGGGACGTTGAGGGATGGGATTCCCATGGGATCCAGGTCTGGCTGTGCGGGGTTGCTCCGGGCAGCATCGTCCTGACGGGCTGGTGTCCTGCTCGGGGATCCAGGAGCCCATCAGGGATACCAGCGCCTGTGGGATGGAAAGGTCTGGCAGTGCCTGCCCCACCAGGGCAGCAGTGAGGCTCAGCAGTGCCCTGTACCCTCGGGCTGCAGAATCCCCGGTTTTCCCCCAACAGCCTCACCCCGAACCCCAACAGCAGCAGCAGCCTGAGCCCTGCGGGCAGCCCTGAACTCACATCCGACAGCAGAATTCCCGCTCGGAGCAGAGGCCGATGCGGCCGATCCCCGGCGGGCAGGAGCGGTGGGAGCAGAATCCCCCGCGGCGCTCGCACTCCTGCGCTGATGCTCCAACCGGGGACAGCCCTGCAGGGCACGGAGAGAGGAGATGTCACTGACATGTTTTATGAAAAATCCTTTCCTTAGGATTTTTCCTCCTGAAAAGCTGAGAGGCCTCAAGAACAAAATGTAAACAATGATTATCTGCTGCTGTGGAATGCAGCAGGTGGATCTGTGATTGGTCTCATGCCGTTGTTTCTAATTAATGGCCAATCACAGTGAGCTGTGACAGAGAGTCCGAGCCACAAACCTTTGTTATCATTCTTTCTTTTTCTATTCTTAGCTAGCCTTCTGATGAAATCCTTTCTTCTATTCTTTTAGTATAGTTTTAATATAATATATATCATAAAATAATAAATCAAGCCTTCTGAAACATGGAGTCAGATCCTCGTCTTTTCCCTCATCCTAAGACCCCTGTGAACACGGTCACAAGGAGACTTTCAGCCGAGATGCTGAGCACTGCCCCTGGTCCCTGCACGGTCAGCGTCAGCCCAGCCCTGCTTGTCCCCTGCCACAGCTGCTGAGCAGGTGCCTGCAGCAGAAATCCAGGTGAGTTTGTGCCACTTGGATGGGAGCAGTCACCACACCCCTAAGCAGGCTCTGTGAGAGGTCTCCATCGTGCCTGCTGCCTCCTTCCTGGAGCAAGGGAGAACTCCAAGGGTAGAAGAAGGATTTCCCTTCCTCCCTGCTCCTCCTCCTCCTCCTCCTCTCCAGCAGGGCTGCTGTTCCCAGTGCTGCTGACTCAGAAATGCAAGGGTCAGGAGGCATGGAGAGGGGGTCAAATCCCAGATTTAGAAGGATAAGAGCTTTAATACAATGCCCCAGCTCTGATCCCAGCAGCAGAACCTGCAGCTGGAGTCTTTCCTTAAAGGTGTGGGGTCAGAGGGACCCCGGCAGGGATGGCACAGCCACCAGGAGAACTCACCCGTGACTCATCAGCTCAGGTGACAAATCCTCCCTAAAAAACACCGACAGAGGACAAACCCTCCACATTTCTTACCTGTCACTCCCTGGAGCATCAGGAGGAGCAGAGCACAGAGGACGGGCAGGATCCGCATGCCTGGGAGTCGCCAGCAGAGCCGCAGCCCTGCGGGGAAGAGAAAGGAGGCAGAGGTGAGTGGCAGGGTCCCTTCCTGCGGGTCGTGCAGCACCTGCACGGGGACAGAACCGAGCAGAGGGGATCTGACCAGTCACTGGTGGGAGGATGCACTCGGCAGCCCGGGATTCAGAGATTCCTGGCACCAGTAGCAGCAGTTTGGTCTCTCCACTTGTCACAATATCCCTTGGGATGGCTGAGTCCTCCCAATGTCCAGCCGCAAATCTTCTTTTTCTGTCCCTTGCCCTGACAGAGAAAAACAAGCAGAGCTTTCCTCATCTGACACCTGAGAAGGATTCCCAGGCTTCCAGCTCAGGATCTTGTGTCATCCTGCCTTGCATAAGGGCTGCTCAGTGCTGTGGTTTGCTGGACAGCTCTGGGGACGCACACACAGAGCATCCCTGTTCGTTGGGCCTTGGCAAACACTCAGCTTTCACCACACAAAGGAGCTCTGTCCTCCTCCCCCCGCGGGCAGTGAGCTCTCTATGCTTCACTTGAAAATAACTGGGAAGACGCCACTTGGGATGACATCCACAGTCCTAGGAAGGACAAGCTTTAATTGTGGCTTTGTTTGCTGGAGTTTGCTGTGTGTAACCCTTTGCTGTTTGATGGAGCATCTTCCTAAACATTTTCAGCCTTGCTGCAGTTTCATCAAGGGCTACTGTCAGGGTCTCTAACTGGTCAGAGTGACCCTGAGAAAAGTTGGAAAGTCTCTTTTCCCAGCAGGGTGCTTGAAGAAAGAGTCAGGGATCTTCATTTCTTGGTCTCAAGGTCGTTTATTGTATCTCATCTATAAAATTCTTTCTCCTGTCCTGCTGAGGTCCGCTCAGCACAACAGTCAGAGGCACTCTGCCTGCTCCCAGGGTGGTGTTATGTCTTTATACTAAAAACTTACGTGTACAATATTTACAATTACTCCCCAATACCTATCACCTATGTTAGACAGTGAGCTTCTACTCTAAACCAATCCAAAAGTGCCACCATTATAGCAGAAGATGGAGTCCAAGAAGAAGAAGAAGAAGAAGGAGAAAGGCTGGACACACCCAGATCCCTCCATCTTGCCCCCCTGAATCCCCATTCTAAAAACCCCAAAATCTACTTTTTCACCTTGTGATAAATTCAGTATCATTCTACTTAATTTGTCATGGCTTGCAGATCTTCATCTAAGGTTGGTAATTTGCTCCATGGGTCATATTCAAAACCACAGGCATTTCTGGGCTCTGTGCCAGGGTCTCTGAGCCCCCTGGCAGGGGTCTTGGCCGTCCTGGACAGCCAGAGGGATGTCCTGAGTCCCAACATGCTACGTGTGTGGGGATGGATGTTAAAAACACACTCATGAGCGCTCACCTGAATCATGGAACCACACAATGATTTGGTTTGGAAGGGACCAGGAGTTTCCAGCCAGCTGCCATGGGCAAGGATGCCTTCCAATAGGTTCTCCAAGCCCCATCCAACGTGTCTGAACACTTCCAGGGATGGGGCTGTCGCCACATTTCTCTTCACAGAGAAAAGCAGAGCACAACTTCTCAAAAATATTCTGAGATTCATATTCTCTGAACATCAGAGAAAAAAAATTAAATCCTTATCTCATTTGCTGCGCCTGTGTTGTTCACAAGTAAAATACATTGTAGAAAATAGTTTCCCTAAAAAAAATTGGTAATTAAATTCTAGTGTGAGTGTTTTAATTCACTAAGCAATTAAATCCAAGTATGTGTGTGTCGGGACTGTCAGCTGACAGTCATGAGATCCTGTGCAGTTGAGTGCAGTTAAATACTTAACAAATTCAATTTGAATATAATGTAACATAGTGTAATATAATATAGTGTAATATAGTGTAATATAGTATAATATAATATAATATAATATAATTAATATAATTAATATAATATAATGTAATATAGTAATTAATTGACCTTATAATTAAATAGAGTCGTCCTCATCATTCCTTCCTTCATTGGAAGTACCTTATTTCTGATATGGGGCAGCCACAGCTTCTCTGGACAATACATGAATATACCTTTGATCCAAACAACTCACCATATTTCATTGTTTTGTCATTCTCCAGTGAGGGACATTGTACAAACTATCTGCAGATCTGTACCCAAGAGGATCACTGCTACTACTCTGCCATGGTAGTCAGAGCACTCAGGGCAGCTTCTTATTTCCTTCACCACTGAAGGAAATCCTGATCCTACAGCTGCAGCCAGAAAAAGGGAAAAGGCCATGCCTCAATTCTTTTTTAATATCTGCTGAGCTGTCTTGGCATCAAAACCCCAAGAGAGAAGGGAGTGGGAGCAGCTATGTCCAGTAGTCAGGTTCCTTACAGGGCTTCATTAAGGGGGCAATTAGCTGCATCTCTGTGCTGTTGCTCTTTAGCACAGACATCAGCTAATCCCTGGAAGTGTCCAAGGCCAGGCTTGACAGGGCTTGGAGCAATCTGGGATAGTGGAAGGTGTCCCTGATCATGGTGAGGGGTTGGTTCTATATGATTTTAAGGTCCCTTCCAACCCAAACCATTTTATGAATCTCTGATTCTATGAGTTTGAATGTGTAGAGTGCTGGGGAGATGGGATTGGGATAAGAAGCAGGGAGGAGATGTGCAGCATGGATCCCTGGGGGTTTCAGCCTGTTTCACCCTAAACTGGCTCTTGAAGCCATTCCCCATCCATAAAGGCAAGGACAGATCTCTGTGGTGGTGAGTTAAAGCATGATGGGACTGGATTGTGCATGATGGGGCTGGATTGTGCATGATGCTGCCTACAGGCAGATGAATCTAAAATTACAGGGGCCGAACCCTCCCTGCAAAGTCCTCAGTCCTTGAGCAAAAATCTTGTGCCATTCCAGTTTGTGAAACATTCACCTAGTGTGGATTGTGCAAAAATCTCTTAGGACATCAACTGTAAATTGCTGGTTTGACTCCACTTGGCAACTTCCTGAGGTTTCCATCCAGGGAGATCCCTTGGAGGAGGCTGTTGGCCCAGCTTCCTGCCCTGCACAAGGCTGTGGTTTCAATGGTGCCAGAGTCATTTGCAGAAATACCTGCTTTGAACAGACCCAGAGAGTGAGGGAGCTGGGCCTGTTCAGTCTGGGGAATACTGAGAGGGGATCTCAACAATCCATATAAACATCTCCAAGGGTGTCAGAGGATGGTGACTGACTCTATTCAGTGGTGCCCAGCTGCAGGATGAAGAGCAGTGGCCATAAACTGAAACACAAGAAATTCCACTTCTACTGGAGGAGGAACTTCTTTATGTTGAGGGTGGCAGAGCACTGAACAGCTGCCCAGGGAGGGTGTGGAGTTTCCTCTTTGGAGACATTCCAAACCCACCTGGATGTGTTCCTGTGCCACAGGCTCCAGGTGACCCTGCCTTGGCAGAGGGGTGATTGGATGATCTCCAGAGGTGCCTTCCAACCCTAACAATTCTATGATTCTATGAGGGTGGGCAAGTGCTTTGCAACAAATGGGCAGCTCAGGGTTTCCATTCAGTCCTTTGCTCTTGAGTTGCTTGCTTCTATTAAAACTCAGCCACTACTGCTCCTTCCTTCACAGAAACACAGAATAGTTTGGATCAGAAGGGACCTTAAAGATCATCTCATTCCAACTCCCTTCCATGGGCAGGGACACCTTCCACTATCCCAGGTTGTTCCAAGTCCCATCCAACCTGGCCTTGGACACTTCCAGAGGTGGGGCAGCCACAGCTTCTCTGGGCACCAAGGATTCCTTGTCAGCATAAGGATGCTCCTGACTGAGACAGGATGCTCCTGCAGAGACAGGAGTTCTCTGAGCAAGCTGCACCTTCTGGGTTTTCTGCTGTGGTCAGGGCAGTTCAGGCTGAATTTATTGGAAGAGAGGTGATCAGAGGCACAGTGGGGTTGGCCTCTCACACAAGTTTCTATAATTGCTTCAAGCAATGTCACAGGTCTAACTCTGATCTCCTGATTTGCAACTGCAGCCAATATAAATTTTGCAGATTCAATCCAAATTTATGGCCGACAGAAATGGCAAGGGTAAAATCAGACTTCAGATTACCAATTTGTCCTGCTCAGTGTGACTGTAGTTCTCATAATAAAACAATATACTGTTCCCAGGTCTGAAAGCTCTGGATCAGGAGGTGGGAACCCCAGGCTTTCAGAGCAGAGGTGCTGTGAAATGCCACATGGGAGAAGACTTTTGTGCTCCCAGTGGAAATGGTGATTGATCTCAGTCATGACAGAGAATTCCCTAGCAGGCATGTGTGGAGAACTTGCCAACACTCATTCAATCAGCAGCCCAAGAGGGGTAAATATTTTGGTGAACTACACATTCCTGGCAGGTTTAAATTAATGTCAGAATTCTTGTTTAAATTTTTTTTGTGAACTACACATTCTTTGCAGGGTTTAGATTAATTTCAGAATTCTTGTTCAAAATTCTTAATGGAAATAAGACTAAATGGGAAATTAATTACTTTTGGAAATTAATGACAACACCACACAGGGCAGCCATGCAACCTCCCCACATCTTGATTTTATTGAAAGAAGAATGACAGATCCTTGGTGGCTGCTGCAACAATTCCTTGAATCCAACGATGTCAAAAGCGATCACTCCGGGAGATCCTCCACAATTAGACACACTACAACCTACACAAATGAAAGGATCCTCAGAATTATGATTATAAGGAAAATCTTGCTGCTTGGGATTCAAGTGATGATTTGGGAAGTCATCTTTGCCCCAGAAAAGTCCTAAACTTACCACCTACAGCAACTGTACCCAAAACGACAGGAGCCCAGGTAATCGTTGCCACGAGGGCATTTCCCCCTGTGGCAGAAGGTCCCACGATACCCACACTCCATGTAAGGTCTCCTGGGTCTTGCCAAGCTTCTACCTTAAAAAAAGAACAAATAAACAAAGATGGGAGACATTTTATTTCCAGCAGGGATTTGCATTTTGCTTAATCCCTGTGAGCTGACAAGGACGTGACAGTTCAGTCCTGAGAGGAGGAGGTCTGTGGGCACAACGACCAAGCAAACACTCTAATTCCTTCTTCCCTGCCAAAATAGGATACCCACATTCAAACTGCCTTTTGGGAACGGGCAGCAGCCTGTGCTATTCCCAGAATAGGTTTTATCCATGAAGGTGCTAATTGTCAGGAATCAAAACAACCCCAGGGAGCAGACCAGCAATTAGGCAGGAGGTTGCCTGGCCCTGTTTGGTTGATTAATAAAGATGCAAGCCTGGCAGCTGAAGTGTTCTGGATGCACCTGACTGAGTGCACATGAACCAATTAATTCCAGTTTCCAGCTCATCCATGGAACATTGCAAAGTATTCAGAGAGAGGGGAGCTTGTTCCAGCAAACAGGGAATGGATATTAAACATGGACAGTGCATCCAGCACATCCCTGGTGGGCTGGATTCCCAGCATGTGAGTAGAGTGATACAAACACACCCAGAAAGTCCCAGGGAGTAATAAAAGTGGTTTAAAGGGTGAATAAAACACTCCTGATCTCAAACTTGTGGTTTGTGGGGCACTGCAGAGGTGGCTGTGAGCAGTCTGAGCTCTCAGGAACACTTCTCTTCCCAGATACAGATAAAATTTCTGGCTTTAATATACCCAGAATATACTTTAATATACTGATAACAGGCCAAGCGTCCCCTGTGTGTTAAATAAGGACATAAAACAGACCAAAGGAACTCTTTGCCTCTGGGAACTGGCACAGGCAGAGACCCAGGCAAGAATAACACCAGACAACCACATAAAATCATAGAATCACAGACTCATTTAGGTTGGAAAAGAACTTTAAGATCATCAAGTCCAATTGTTAACTCAGCGCTGCCAAGCCCACCACTAATCCATGTCCACAGGTGCCACATCCAGATGGCTTTTAAATCCCTCCAGGGATATATCTGTGACACTTTTCCCACATTTCTGGTCTGCTGCAGTTCATCACAGTCTTTTCCCATCCTAACTTCCCTAGAGGACACTTTCCACCCTGTTCCACAGAGATCAAAACTCCACCAGCCCCTGCTTGTGCACAGAGCACCCTGCAAATGTAGCCGTGCCATTTTCAGGGCTGATATTAAAATACAATCCCATTTTCTGGATAATAGGGTTGGTTTGGGGTTCCAGACAATCCCTTTTTCTGGATAATAGAGTTGGTTTGGGATTCCAGTCTCCTTTGCACCCCCCAACAGGCATCATGATTTTGTGCCTCTCCACCTTATGTCCCAGCTCCCAAAGCAAAGGATATTTGAAGAACATGGGGCCAGATTCCTTTTTCTTTTTTTTCTGTGTGGTTTAAGATTACTTGATCATGATTTAATTTGTTTGTTGGGTGACTCAGAGGCAAAGTGATTTAAGTACAAGCCTGCAGGGTTTAACGGGGAAAACACTGGTGCTGAATGGTAATTTTGGGGTTGCCCCTTTCAAAGTGATGCTTGGAGTATTTGCCTGCTAATTTCACTTCTCATCTGTAATCTCCAATGAGCTTTGATGATTTATGTGAGGATTCTTTGCAGGACGCAGCTTGGTCACACCCCAAAGGGGACAAGAAACCTTTGCAAGACACCAACACCTTCTCTTCAGTCCCTCAATTTACCTGCAGCTCCCTGAAATGCCACCAAGAGGAGAACAAGGAGCAAAGGAAGGATTTTCATGGCAGAGGGTGGGCTGGGATCCTGGGTCACTGCAGAGAAAGGAGACCAGGACTTTGGTTAGAGCCTTGTCCCTCCATAGTCCCAGAAGTGACACAGAGAAATGTTCTTCAAGACCTGGAAGTTACCTAAATGAAGTTATTACACATTTTTGTAATGATTGTGTCTATTGTCCTAAGATTTTCCTGGAGCACACCTAAGATCATGGCATGTGATGCAAAAAATTCAATTTTATATCCCCTTTTAATTAATGCATCAACTGACCAGCAATTTGTCCTGAATTTCTCGATAACTTGCAATGCCTTGCAATGAATTTGATCTGGAAGGCAAAGCTGTTAATTCAGAAAATAAGACAATTTTTACTATAGTTATACAAAAAAACCCCATGGGTTTTCTCAAGCTTTTCTACTAGGAAAAAAGAGCAGATAAAGCAATTTTCTTCCCAATTAACTCAAAATCCAGCTTCTCCTTATTCTTGCTTGGATGCTGTTGTTTATTCTTCCCCTCAAGAATTACATTATTTCCAGGATAAATTTTTGAGTATTTCCATTTCCTGCAGCCAACAAAACCTCCTCTCCCTTATCAACATTTGACACCTCTAGAACTGGCTCATGACAGTCTGGAGCCACTGCACAGCTAAGACTATAAAACAAACTGCAAACAGATAAACAAGAAAGACATGAAGTCTCCATCCCATTTAAGGACAAAACCTTTTGAGAGAGGCTGAATAATGAGAATATTTTGGTTGTTACCAGGCAGGAGGAGCTCTAGGCTGGAACAGTCCCAGGACCAGCGTCAGCCACCCGGAGGAAGATGAAGGAGCAGAGCGTGGGTTTGTGCTGTTCCTGGAGGGTGATGAGGGATGTTTGACCTCCACAGCCTTTTGGTGGCCAATGAGGCTTTGGGGAGCTCTGGGGGCACCCAATGAATCCTCTTTGCTGTTGTCCTAAGAGGAACCAAGGTCTGGCTTTCAAACCATTGCAGCATTGCCTCAGGAAATGTGTTGAGATGAGAAAAACCACCCTGGGCCTCCTCCCTTTGAGCAACCCTTTGGCCACAGCAGCTCACTCAAGATCTGTTTCCATCTGTTCTCAGAGGTTTTATATTTCCTTACAAACATGAACAATATATCACCATAGAAGTAAAATAATCATCAGCTGGAATGTTAAAATAAAACCCACTGAACCTATGTTAAATGGGAAATCAGTTCTTTGGAAATTCAGGAAGAGGGTTAATGGGCTGTCATTAATTCTACATCATTAATGCTGATGAGAGGGAAAATCTGGACAATTGAGAACATGGAGAAGATCTGCACTAGGGAATGGTAGGGAAAAAATGAGAGAGGAAAAGAGAAATCAAAGAGTTCAGAATAAAAAAGGAAAAAGTGGTTTGGGGTTTTTTTCACATTTTTTCACCAAAACATTTTCATTACTAGGTTACCTGCATGGCACATAAGATATGTTATGCCATATCTATTTATGGAAATTATTACAGCCCATGCCCAGCAATTTTAGTTTTATTGTCTTTATTATGTTGCAATGGACAGAAGAGTTCTCTGAGCACAGCATCCTCCTTTCTCACCAAGGATTACTCCAATGGCTTCCTGCTTTTTACAGACATTTCTATGAGTTCAGGTGCCTGTTGCAAAGGGATCTTCACTTCTCTTTTATCCCTCTTTCCTCCTTGAATCCGGCCCCATTCCGTGGGAGGTGCTGTTCTCTGGGCACGACTGAGCTCATCCCTGCGAGAGCCTCCCTGGGCTCGCCCTTCGTGCCCTGCAGGGATTTTTCTTAGATCTCTTTGTTTTCTTTCCCAATCAAAACAACTATTTCACGGAGGCTTCCAGCACAGCCTTGTCAGCAGCTTTCAGCCTGCCCTCAGGCTTCTTGTTTCTCTGGGCTGCTGCTTTGGGTGCTTTTCTTTCCTCACTTTTGCTTTTTTTTTTTTTTTTTTTTTTTTTTTTTTTTTTTTTGTGGTCAAATACATGTCGAACGTGCTTGGTCCCACAACGTGGTTACACATAATTGTGCTGTGGTCACTTTTAGACAGCAGCTCCCACAAACAGCTTTGGAATTGGAATTTGCACCCTAATCCAGGAAGGCAAATGTTCTTGTGGACGCCAGGACCAGCTGCTCTAAGAATCACCATTGTACAGTAAGAAAAATGTACATTTTACAGAGGAAAAATCTAATGTCTGCACTGCCTGGCATCATCCACAATCATCTGTCAGATCTGCTCTGCTGCATCACCTCAGGCAAGGGAAGCACCTGCAGAAGATGTGCCCTGGTCCCCAAATCCTTTAGGGCAGGGCTCTTCCTGTAAACCCTTCCCTGAGGTGTTGTGTTTGCAGACAGATGTGCAGCCAAACATCTGGGCTGAAAAATGGCTCAGCAAGTGAGGAACAGCTGGGTCTGTGTGATGTCACCTGTGGGCAGCTCACCTGGAGCACCAAGCCCAGGTCTTGGGGTCCCCAGCACAAGAAAGACTTGGAGCTGCTGGAGAGAGTCCAGGGGAGGCCGTGGAGATGCTCCAAGGACTGGAGCCATGACCAGGGACAGCTTCCACCAGATCAGATTCCTCCAAGCCCCATCTCCAGCCTGGCCTTGGACACTTCCTGGGATCCAGGGGCAGCCACAGCTTCTCTGGGCACCCTGTGCCAGGGCCTCCCCACCCTCACAGCCAAGAATTCCTTCCCAAATTCCCATCTACCCTTGCCCTCTGCCAGTGGGAAGCCATTCCCTGTGTCCTGTTCCTCCATCCCTTGTCCCAAATCCTTCTCCAGCTCTCCCTTTAGGCCCTGGAAGAGGCTCTGAGGTCTCCCTGGATCCTTCTCTTCTCCAGGATGTCACTTTCTTGGAGCCATGAGGAGTTTTTTTAGCGAAAGAGGCTCCTGGGTGCTGAAATCCAGCAGAGAAAAGTGCAGCCAAACCGGTGGCTGGGAGGCAGCCAGAGCAACTGGGAGCTGGCAGAGAAGCTGGGGAGGGTGGCTAGCTCTGGGAATATCTCCTGGCTTCCTCCTTCTCTGCCTGGCAAAGCTCTGGGAATATCTCCTGGCTTCCTCCTTCTCTGCCTGGCAAAGCTCCGGGGTGATGATGGCACAGGATTTGTTCCTGGCTTGGAACACAGCAGAGACAGCTGAGAGTCCTCAGGGAGGGAATGGGGGTGTTGGAGGGCAGGGGGGGCGAGATTAGGAGATTCACATCTGCTGTGGGTGACAAGAAAGGTCACATTGTGCCTGCATGGACCCTGGCAGCATCCTCACTGCTGAATTTGCAAAAATGCTTCTTCCCCATCCCACTCTCAGGTCTGCAAGAGGCTTTGGTGCCCATTAGAGGCTGAGTTGTGCTTTGTATGTTAAAGATTGGGTTTTCTAGGAATGGGCCACGTGGTATTTGCTGCTGTGGAGGACAGAGACAGCCAAGGCTGAGCTTCACTTGGCTCCAGAGCCCTCATTACACGCCTGGCTTTATTAAAATGCTTCGCTGGAGCTGGGCCCAGCAGTCCAACATCATTAATTAATGAAACACAAATAGGGGCAGGGCAGAGGGACAGGAGGAAAAGTGGTTTGTCCTTTACACCCAAAGGGCCCCCAGACCCTATCAGATGGAGTTGAGGCTGCAAAGATGCCAAGTTCCTGGTAAAAAGCAGTGCTGGAGACCCGTGGAGAGCCTGGGGATGCTCCCACGAGTAGGAAAAACAGGCAAGGAAATTTCTGAGCAGTTTGGTGGCTACTGTTACACAGCAGAGCCTGGGCTTTATTGACAGAGTTGCAAAAAAGAATCAATAAAATTTAAAAACACAACAATAAATATATGAAGGTCCTGGAACAAAGGTACATCCAACATCCCAGCTGATGCACAAAGTTCTGGGAGCTTCCTGCAGCATACTGCAAAAACCACCAAAACCAGAGGTGATATTTTGCCTTAATTAAACCCCTTTTTTGTGGCTTTTCCTGTAGTGACCTGCTGGGAATTTATTCTCTAAAAAGCATCAGCGCTGGAGGCTTTCAGGGCTGGAAATTGGGATAAAAAGCAAATGCACACCAGAGGGCTCCTGCAAGCTCCGATGCTCGGGATCCCATTTCACAGCGGTTTCATCTCTGTGGTGAGGCGGGAAAACAGCGGAATCAATCGATGGCTCTGTGCACGCCATGTCCCAGCTGCCACCTAGTGACATCCCCGCGACACGGGGACATCGTACGGGGGACATCGTGGGGGCCGTGCCCCGGTGCACAACAATTTGGGGCACATCGGGGTGGGCTTGTGCCAGCAAACAACAGCACAGAGAGCAATGGGATGGGCTTGAGGAAAAATCGAATGGGTGCTGAAGAACCCAGGGGACATCGGGGTGGGCTGGTGACACCGCACAGGAGCCCGGGGGACATCGGGGTGGGCCTGTGCCACCGCACAGGAGCCCGGGGGACATCGGGGTGGGTTTGTGACACCGCACAGGAGCCCGGGGGACATCGGGGTGGGTTTGTGCCACCGCACAGGAGCCCGGGGGACATTAGGATGGGTTTGTGACACCGCACAGGAGCCCGGGGGACATCGGGGCGGGCTTGTGCCACCGCACAACAATTTGGGGGATACGGGATGGGGTTGTGGCAGCGCACAGCAGCTCCAGGGGTCTCGGATGCTCGGTCTCTGTGTCCCCAAGCCCCCGGGGGTGGCGCAAGCTCCGTGATGTCACACTGCCCGGGGAGGGGACATTGGGGGAGGTGCCCGGTGAGGGCGGGCGGAGCGGGACCGGCCCCGGCGGCTCCTTCTTCTTCTTCCTCCTCCTCCTCCTCCTCCTCCTCCTCCTCCTCCTCCTCCTTCTCCTCCCTTTCCTCCCACCTCCTCCTCCTCCTCCTCCCCGTCCTGCTCCCAGGATGCGCGGGGCCGTCCCCAGGCTCAGCCTGACGCTGCTGGCGGCGGAGAGCGGCGCCCGTGAGTGAGCGCGCAGGATGCGCGCAGGATGCGCGGGGGCGTGCGGGGCTGCGCTCCGGCGGAGGGGAGGGGGAAGGCGGATGGGATGCTGGAAAGGCGGATGGGATGCTGGAAAGGCGGATGGGATGCTGGCAGTGACGCCTTTGCGGCCATCCCGAATCACCTCCGTGCACCGGGGAGAGGGGGGGTCCATCCCTGCGCCCCGCGCTTGGGGAGATGCGCGGTTCTGCTCCCGGCATCCCCGCGGGCCCAACAGTCCTCTTGGTTGTTTTTTTTTTTTCATATTTGAAAAATGGAATTTTTTTCCCCGCTTATTTATTTATTTGTTTATTTTGGAGCCCGAGCTTTTTATCAGAGCCTTGCTGGGGGCCGGGCCCCTCGGTGGCGGTGGCTGCGCCTCAGCTGACAAAGCCACCGGGAGCCGGCAGCTGGAGATAAGCCCAGGAGAAGGGCTGGGAGATGGAGTTCTGGCGGGAATGGCTTTAAACTGACAGAAAGCAGGTTTACATTGGATATGAGGAGGAAATTCTTCCCTGTGAGGGTGGGGAGGCCCTGGCACAGGGTGCCCAGAGCAGCTGTGGCTGCCCCTGGATCCCTGGAAGTGTCCAAGGCCAGGTTGGGCAGGGCTTGGAGCAACCTGGGGTAGTGGAAGGTGTCCCTGCCCAGGGCAGGGGGTGGAATGAGAGGAGCTTTAAGGTCCCTTCCCACCCAAACCATTCTGGGATTCTCTGGTTATGAATGGCACCGCTCAGTTGTGTCATCCCTCAGCACCGCCTCTCTGCCCTTCTCCAGGGCTCTGTGCCATCATCCACTACCTTGTCCGGGGGCAGCTGGGCTGGTTCGGGCTGACCATGGCCTGCCTGGTGCCCGGCTACGCCGCTCAGCTCCTCAGCATCCTCTGGTTCCGGGCAGACGGACACGCACCCGGCTGCTGCCTCCTGGCGCTCCACCTCCTGCAGCTCGGCCTCTGGAAGAGGTGAGAGACGCTCCCCGCTATCCACCCACCCCCCACAACCCGGCTGCAGCCCCAGATTTCCTCCAGCCAGGGTGGGCATCCCGTCACGGTGGCTCTCGCAGGTACTGGGATGTCCTGCGGGCGGCGGCCAAGGCGGGCGGCGGTGCCGGGGAGCTGCTGGCTCAGCTCGGGGATGTTTGTGTGCTGCGGCTCCTGGAGGCCCTGCTGCAGACCCTGCCTCACCTCCTGCTCCAGACCTATGTCGTGGTGGCCGTGGACCCAGCAGGCTTCATCCCTGGTGAGTTCCCAGGAGGATGGCTCAGGGGTGATGCGTTTGGGTGAGGGAGGTGTGTGTTTTCTGTGTTCTCCCTGGAGGGATGTGCTGCAGAGGGACTGGGAAGCCTCGATGAGAAGCAGCAGGGAAAAGCCTGGCTGAAAGATCTGCTGTGGCTGAATGCAAAGGTAGCTGCTTTGCCCCAAAGGTGAACTTTCAGGTGTGCAAAGAGGGAGGTTGCAGTGGGAAGTCATGGCATGTGCAAGGTCGCAGTTGCTCATTGTCCATCTCTGGTCCGATAGCAGTGACCGGGCTGGAGCTGCCCTGGTGCTGCAGAGCTCTGTCCATGGAGACAGAGGGTATCCACAGGGAGATACTCAGAGGGTACTCTGGATACTCAGAGGGTATCCACAGGGAGATGCTGAGCACACAGAGACCAGATTTAGCAGGATTCAGTTGAAATGCTCCAGTTTCATTCCCTGGTAAATTCAAGTCAGGTTGACTGTTGAGTCAGGAATGAAGTGAAGTGACACATAAACTGTAACTCCCTTCAGCAGGCTAATCCCAAGTTTATTGGAAACCCATTCCTTTTTATACACTGTTCTAATACAGGTGGACCTGATTGGTCATTTAATCAACACCCCATCACCACTGGCTAATTAAGAAGACACCCTTTGGTAAACATCTTATGAGAAAACAACTGTTCAAAACACCAGCTGCAAGATAGTTTTAATTCTTTCTCTCGGCCTTCTCAAAAGTCCCCATAAGAATTCCTGGGAAAGTTTATCTGGCTTTCTGCCTCTGACCAAACTGTCACAACCACAGGACAGGGCTCTGAGAAACCTGGTCTGGTGGAAGATGTCCCTGCTCATTGCAAGGGACTGGACTAGATAGCCTTTAAGGTCCTTTCTGTGATTCACTTGGCAGGATCAAGGGGTGTCTGGCTTGTGTGGGGGTGCTGTGCTACCAACACCTCCTTAACACAGAGAGTTGGCCCTGCTGTGCATTTGGGCCTCCATCAGAGCCCTGACTGCCCCTGTCCCCATACAGGTGTCAGTGCAGGGCTGTCCCTGCTGTCCCTGGCCTGGGCTTTGGTCTCCTACAGCCACTTCACCTTCCTGCTGAAGCCTGGACACCTGAGCCCACCAGCTGCTGTCATCCTGTGCCTGCTGCTCTGGAGGACAGGGATGCTGGGGACCCGGGTGCTGGCCCTGGTGCTCTTTGCCAGGCTCTATTCCTTCTGGGTTTTTGCTGTGGCAGGTAAGACCTGAGATCCTGTTCCCCACATCCCACCCCAATGTTCTCAGGTTTTGTGTCGCTGGAATGGCTCCTGAGGTATTAAAGAGTCTTTTTTTCCCAGCCCCATGACCAAAGAAGAAGCTGAGATTCCTCAGCTCTGGTTTTCAAGGTTGTTTATTTTCTCTTATCTATCATATTATTTTTTGGACCTGCTGAGGTCTGTCTAGCAGGTCAGGTTGAGGCACACTGACCGCCCTTGGGGCAGTGTTATCTTTTTATACTAAAAACTACGTGCACTTTATTTACAATAATTTTCCAATAGCTATCACCTATGTTAGACAGTCTGTCTCTACTTTAAACCAAAAGTGCCAATATCACAGCAGAAGAAGAAGAAGAAGAAGAAGAAGAAGAAGAAGAAGAAGAAGAAGAAGGAGAAGGAGAAGGAGAAGGAGAAGGAGAAGGACAGGACACGCCCAGATTCCTCTATCTTGCCTCTTGAACCCCCATTCTAAAAACCCCAAATTTCTACATTTTCACCCCGTGTTAAATTCACTAACATTCTACTCAAACCCTTGTGGCTTGTAAATCCTCACACAAAGTTGATAATTGTTTCCATGGGTTAAAATCAAAGGCACAGGTGTTTGTGACTCTGTGCCAAGGTCTCTGAGCCCCCTGTCAGGAACTAAACCCATCAATACCATGGTCTCAGAATCCAGGGCAGTCAGAAGAATGCCCTGGCTTGCGACACAATGTCAGCCCTGCCATGCTTCTGCTGCTGGGACTGTTTGCAGCCTCCCCTGGGCATGGCTTTGCAAATCCAGTCCTTTCTCCCTGCAGGGGTGCACTGGCTGCTCATGTCCTTCTGGCTGGGGGCCCAGCAGACAGATATCGTGGCCCAGCCGTGCCGCTGGAGGCTCTTCAACTGCCTGCTGGGAGCTGTCTACATCTTCTGCTACATCAACGTCCGGCCCGGCCCCTCCAGGACCAGGGTGGTCGTGTTTTATGCAGTGAGTACCTGGAATTGTTTTGTATTCCACATGGATGAAGCTGCTGGGGATGAGCAACAGCTTCAGACTCTCCGTTTTCATCTCTCACATCACCACTTGCTCAAAATCCAGAGTTTTGCTGTGTCCTGACAAAGCTGCGTGGTCACCAAGGTGGATGTGTCTTCTGCACTGGCTTTGATGCTTTAGAGGCAGCCTTACAATGTCAGTGGTAAAAAGTAGGTGAAGACCTTCCAGAAAGTTCAGTTTGACAATTTCTTTGTTTTAAGTGATAAATTAGGTGCAAAATATAACAGAAGTGCTCAAGGCCAGGTTGGATGGGGATGGGAGCAACCTGGGGTAGTGGAAGGTGTCCCTGCTCATGGCAAGGGGTGCAATAAGATGAGCTTTAAGGTCCCTTCTGGCCCAAACCATTCTGTGATTCTAAAAATCTATGAAAATCTAGAAAATGGGTGTTTTCTGTTGTGAGAGGCACATCTAAAGCCATCAGAAGGATATAAGTGATGAGTCTCTTCCCTCTGCCTTGCAGATTATGCTGATGGAGAACACGCTCCTGCTGCTGTTGGGCACCCGGTTCCTGCAGGTAGAGCTGAGGAACAGCCTGACTGTGACTGGGGCTGTCATGTCAGGGTCTTTAATAGGTAAGAACATTGATTTCAGAGCCTGGATTGCACATTTTGAGAGTAGTTTCAGGAAATGAACATCCAGACTCCTGTCCCAAGTCCCTCTCCAGCTCTCCTGGGGCCCCTTTAGGCTCTGGAAGGGGCTCTGAGCTCTCCCTGGATCCTTCTCATCTCCAGGTGAGCACCCCCAGCTCTCCCAGCCTGGCTCCAGAGCAGAGGGGCTCCAGCCCTTGGAGCATCTCTGTGCCAAGCAGGGTCATATTTTCCCCGAGGGATGGGGGCAGAGGGAAGTTGTGCAACTCCTCAGACCCTCAGATCAACCATGTTAAAGAAATGGGATGGAAAAGGAGCAATTCCTGTGGTCTTGGATGAGTTTAGGGTAGAAGTAGGAAGCTGTTCTTCAAAACTTGCTGGTTTAAAGGCCAGAGGATGAGGATGCTGTGACATGGAAGGTTTCCTTCAGCACACATTTCCCTGCTGGGCAACTTTCAGTCTGCAAATTAATCCAGATTAAATTTGGGGTTGAGTGTGCATTTCCTTTGCCCAAATCTGCTCAAGTGGGATTCTTGCATCCCCATAAATGCTGGAAAGATGTGCTGCTCATACAGCTGATTCTCAGCAGCATCTCTGCAAAGGTCTTGTTGATCTGGAGGTGCCTCAAGATCTGTCCTCTTCTCCACAGCTGACCAAAATGCTGCTGGGACTCCTCAGTGACACTTTTCTGCTCCTTTCTAGGTGCCACAGCTCTGGTGATTTACTATAGCCTGCTCCACCCCAAGTCCACAGAGATCTGGCAGGGATTCCTGGAGACAATGTGCAGTTCTGCAGCAGCTGGGGATGAGGAGGGGTCTGGAGAGAGCTCCCAAGCTGGGCAGAGTTCAGGGACTTTGGGAGATGAGGAGTCCTTGCCAGTGGAAGGGACCAAGACAGAGCCCAAAAAGGAGACCAGCTCATCACTGCTGCAGTCCAAAGGGGGTTTGGAGGACAGCTGGACAGACCATCACCACTGGCTGCTGGTGAAGCTGGCCTTGAAGACAGGAGATCTGTCCGTGATCAACGCGGCTTTTGGAGATGGCGGCGTGGGAGAGGCTTTTCCTGGAGGATGGATGATGGGGAAACCCCCTGGTGCTGAGCCTGGGGCAAACCTTTCCCTCCCCATGAGGGACATCCATCCCTCTGGACTGGCAGTGGGGAATGGAGGAGGCATCAAAGCCAGTGCTGGTGCCCTGGGAATGGCACAGGAGGATGGAGCAGGGCAGGAGCCTGATTTTCCCCCATCCACGTCCCACCCCAATGGCTTCTCCCCAGATTCCACCGAGAGCTCCTCTGTGTATTTCAGTGCAAGTGCAGGAGGCATCACCTCCCCTGGGACAGGGACAGCCATAAGCATGGCCCTGGTGCAACGGGACAGCAAAGCTCAGCCTCCCCCAGGCTGCCTGGGAGAAGGAGGAGGAGGAAGAGGAGGGAATCTATCCCTTGGGATGCCCAGCATCAGCCCAATCCTGGGCGCTTGTGCCCACAAGTGTCTGCAGAGAAGCTCTTCCTTTGGCAACACGGGCAGCTGTGGGGTGACAGGTCTCCCCAAAGAGGGCTCAGAGCCCACAGGGACAGAGGCTGCCCTCGTGGGGTGCCATCACCTTTGGGACACCCACCCTTGTGGCCTGCAGGGGACTGTGGTGAGGAGCAAGCTGAGGTCACCGTGCTTCACCTCCACCCCCAAGGCCGGCCCTAAATGCTCCCAGCGAGGACTGGGGGAGCTGGGAGAGGGGACAGACCTGTCTGGGTGACCAGAGTGACCCTGTACATGTCACCTTGGGCCAGCCCTGGGGTGACTGTCTCATCAACAGGGCATGGCAGGAGGTGGTGGGACAAAGACTGTCCCCACAGTGCCCCTGCCATGGGGCAGAGTGCTCCTCCATCACTGGGACATCACCTTCCCTCCCAGCACATCTTCTAGAGGCAGTCTTGAAGAACTTCAAAAGCCTTAAAAAGCCCTAAAACTCCAGGGCTGGTTATTTATTGAGCTTATTTATGTCACAGACCTGCCAGGCAGCTGGAGCCTTCTGCCTTTGGTGTATTTGTGACAATGACTTGAGGTGTGTCCTTAAACCAGTACCTGCACAAGCTGCTGGCCTGTCCCAGTGTGGAGATCTGGTTGCTGTTTCCAGGGGCTGCAGTGCTGGCCAAAGCAGTTTTCTCAGGACAAATAAGTGCCTAAATCAGAAAAATTATGGGTTTTACTCTTGCATGTCCTTTCTGGGCAGAGTAAGGCCTCAAGTAAGGCTCAGCATTGCTTGATTGTTTTTCCCCACCAGGTTTATCTTGAGGCCTTTGCCAACTCCAGTTTTGGGAGTCACAGAGGGTTGCAGATTCTCTTCCTGCTGCAGACCAGAACCTCAGAACCTGGAATTACTACCAAAAGCCATGTCCTACTGTCTTGCCTCCTCAAGTGGTCTTTTCTCTCCAGCCTCCTCCTTGTCCCCTTCCAGCTGCAGATCACAGGAGCCCAGAATTATTTGGGTTGGAAGGGACCTTAAATCTTATCCAGTTGCAAGCCCTGCCACGTGCAGGGACACCTTCCACTAGACCAGGTTACCAGGTTATTTTCCACATCTACCTGGATGCTTCCACCTAAACTTAGGCCAAATCTCAAACCAGTTCTACCCCCACCATAAAACCCACAGTGCAGGCAAGGTTTATTTGTGTCAGGAACTAAACCCATCAATACCTTGGTCTCAGAAATAGCCAGTGCTTCCCACCAAGCTGGCTGGGCATGGATTTGTGCCCAGGGCACAGGTTTGTGCCCAGGACATGGCTTAACATGTCAATTGAGGTGTGATCAGCTGGATTCACCACCAAGCTCCTGAGTGCCATCTGGAGCACATCTGGCTGTGCTCTCCAGCTGTTGTCCCGCTGTGGGCAGGACTCTGCTGCTGCCACAGGGCAGGAAAGGCAGCAGGGAGGGCACAGGCATGTGATTAATTGTTAAAAAAAAAGCTTTCATGATGCATTCACTGCTCAGGGCTGACCCAGCCAGATGCTCCCTTGGGGCACAGAAAACCCAGTTGGTGCTGAGTATGGAGTGAAGCCACATTCCAAGGGGATGAAGGCTCCCTGTCTCCATCTGGACCCCAGCCCCCTGTGCTGTGCCTGTGCTCTGCAGGCAGGAGCAGTTCCAGAGGCTTTTCCAGAGCCCTTCTCATTGTGTGGATCACAGAGAAGGCAGCAGTGCTGCCGGGCCATTGCAGGAATTTTTATCTAGCTTGGTTTTCTACTTTTTATAATATATAATTATGCTTGAAAATACCCCAAACCAGCCTTTGCTGTGTCTGTGTCTCGTGTTGGGGGTGAAAATCAGTGTGGAGGGCTCTGTTTGTCTCATGTTGGGGGTGAAAATCAGTGTGGAGGGCTCTGAGTGCTTCCCACTCTTGGCTCTTGCAGCCCCAGGATGAGTTGCCTGTCAGGATTTCCAGTGGGAGGGTGAAGAAGGGACCTGGGCAACAGGATCTGGGGGAATGGCATGAAAATGTGTCAGGGAAGGTTAAAGTTGGGTGTTAGAAAAAGATTCAGCCATCATGAAACTGTCCCACAGGCCAGTCAGAAAAGAAACAGACAATTTTGAGAAAGTAAAGAATACTTTTGTGCACAGGAGTCAGGAATAAATGTGATTAAATGTGATTTGATTTCTCAGAGCACATCCACAGTGCAGGGGTACACCATGAGCTGTTACCTCTGACCTCAGATGAGGTGGTTGTGGAAATCCTGGATAGATCAAGGAATGGCAAAAGAGAAAGGGGGAATCTGGGGACAGAGGGTGCAGAGGACTGGGGTAGGGATGAGGGTGTTTGTGTGAGGGCTGTGTTCCCACAGCTTTGCTCCCTGATGATGAGAGTTGGTCACAGGAGAGCCATGCTTCACTTTCTCCTTGGGAGCAATGTGAAATCAGGTGGAATAATATGGATTGTCTGTCCTTAAGGGCTTCCAGCCTGTGTGAGAGCCCTGTTGCACCCAGGGTCCAAGTCCTGCCTGCTGGTACAGTCCCAGCACTGAGCCACAGGTCTCTGCCTGTAGAAATAACCTGTATTTAATCAGAGAATCCCAGAATGGGTTGGGTTGGAAGGGACCCTAAAGATCATCTCATTCTAATCCCCTGCCATGGGCAGGGACACCTTCCACCATTCCAGGTTGCTCCAAGCCCCATCCAACCTGGCCTTGGACATTTCCAGGGATGGGACAACCACAGCTTCTCTGGGCACCCTGTGCCAGAGCCTCACCACCCTCACAGGGAAGGATCTCTTCCCTGTATCCCATCTAAACCTATTCTTTAGTGAATTCTAAAGCCCTGTTTGAAGTAGGAGGACTCCAGCAGCAAATCACAGCTTCAGACACCCTCCCCCACCCTTCCCATCTTCTGTGGCCCAATGACCTGGTGCACTTCCAGATTTTCCCCAATGCTGCCAGACTGAGAAAATCACACTGGGGAGGAGTTTCTCCCCAAAACTTCTTGTCCCTTTGCCACCAGAGGGAGATGCTGCTCAAGCTCCAGATACACCTCCAGTACCTGTGTTATGGAATCATTAAGGCTGGAAAAGCTCTGAGCTCATCCAGTCCAACCATTCCCCAGCGCTGCCAAGGCCACCACTAACCCACGTCCCCATGTGCCACATCCACACGACTTTTGAGTCCCTCCAGGGATGATGAGTGGAGAGGAGAGGGAGGTGCAGGACTGATGCTGCTGTGGCATTGCACTGGGAGCCAGTGGGAATGAAATGGGGAGCTCTGGGACACTGGAGGTGGAGTGCACAGTGAGTTCCTGGAGGAATGAGACCATGGCTGTGGGCATCTCCTTTTACTTCCCAGGCATCACTGGGCCATGGGGAATGTTTGAAAATCACTGTCAGGGTCTTGCCCTCTTCAGGAGAAGAGTCTTTGACCTGTAAATATCCCATGGTGCCTTCATGTCCAAAGGTGTGTGTGAGGGGAGATGCCCCAGATCACACTGGATGCACAAGGGGACCCTGGGGCTTTGGTAGAAGTGGCTCCAGCTGTCACCACCATGGTGCTGGGTCCTGATTTTGGTGCTGTATCCTTGGAGCTGTGCTCAGGGGGGTGACCTGGCTACTCCACACTCTGGTTTGTCCTCAGATCAAGCCTTGGGGTGCACAAATCCCACAAATCCCAGGTCACTGCTCTGTGTGGAGCAACACGGATGCCTGGGCCAGTCCAAACCCTGGAAAACTGCAGCTGGCAGAGGGGCAATGGACCAGCTGCTCCAGGCAACCTGCTGATGGTATCTTCAAATGTCCCAAATGCTTGAGGAGACCTGGGCAGATCCTCTCTTCCTTCTGCAGCATCTCCCATGAAACTGTTTTTGGATGAGGAATGATCCTGAGCTAGACCAGGATCTGCCCAGCTTTTGGGGGTCTCATCACCAATGTCTGGGCTGAACCACCCTCCTGAAGGGCTTGAGCAAGGGGATATCTCCATCCCACTGCACTTGGACAGATTGTCCAGTGCTTTTGCCTGCTCTGGAATAGAAAATTTCTGCTCATTTGCCTCCTGTGAACCTTTTGTTTTCCATTTTGCTTCTTAAGGAAACCCTCTCCATCACTTTAGAGAGGTGGAGGGTCATGCCCCAGCCCAGGAGAGCTCAATGCCACAGGTGAGAGGAGCTCTCAAGGGCAACATGGGAGCAGGAACCAAGCATGAATTTTGACAATGCAGGGAGTGACCCAAGGGCTCCCCAGGAGAACTGGCTGTGCCACTCTGGTGATCTGGAGAAAGGAGCAATCAGGCAGGAACAGAGGCTACGTCCCTAAGAAATTAAACAATACCCAGGCGAGTGCCTGGGCTTGGGAACGTGGCTGTCCTGACTGCTGGCACTGTCCCCTTGGCTTGTCACTCTTGTCCCTCTTTCAAGGTGAAATGAAATAAAGCAGGATGGAGTTGTACCAACAGTGTGGAGCAGCAGCCTTGGCCCAGCCCTGCTGGGATCTCACCTTCCAGCAGCCCAATTTCTGAGCATTGTCCATGGGTGCCTGGTTTTGAGAAAAACATTTCCTCCAGCTCCAAAATGATGTAACACCGCTCCATTCCCCACCCCCCTCATCAAAAAAGATTTCCCCAGAAAAACCATCTTTTCACTTCCAACAACATTGAGCCACAATACTTGGACCTTAAAGAAAATAGAATTATTTGCCCCGGGGCTGTTGTTATTTGTCTGTTTGGTTTTTTTTTTTCCCCAAGCTGAAACATTGGTTATTTTTTTTCCCCCTTTAATTAAATTTGGTTTGCTGCAAATCCCTTTCTGGTGCCTTCAGTGTTCCTGTAAAAGGCAGGGCCCAGGCTGCAGCTCTGTGCCCATGGCTCCAAGGCTAAACAATACCACAGAGGGGGGGACCAGAGGGTGAGCCCAGCTAATCAGGACTTGCCTAATAGGACTGAGTGCTTAATGAGAACCCAGGGACTCTGCTTCCCCAGCTGGATTTGGCTGGAGGAAAATGCTTTGTGCTCTCAACACCAGGTTTGAGATGGCTCAGCTCTCTCAGATGTGCTGGAACAGTGTTTTCTCCCTCCTGTGAATCCATCCTTACTGGACACAGGACAGATCTGTGAGGAATCTGTGGGGATCCAGGGATGCTGGAGGAGCTGAACAAGATTCTGGAAGCAAAATGATCCGTATTTTGCTTGCAGGGAGATCTTTCAAATCAAAACGCTGTTTATACCTTGATTTTCCTAAGCAAAGCCACCAAAGGGCCCTGTCTGCTCCTCTCATGTCCTTGGAGCTCCCTGAGGAGCTTTGGGGGGATTTTAGGGATTGACTTCAATAAATAACACCAAATGTTCCACTGTTTTGCTATGGAGACCTGCTCAGATGGTCTCTGTCCCCACTGCTACACCCCCAGATCGAGCTGGGGTGTGGTTTTGGGAAGGGGGTGGGATAGAGAAGGGACCTCCGGCCTTTCCCTGGTTAATGAGGGACATTTGGGGTTCAGCACGGGGACTGTGGGATGCAGAGCAAGGTGTCAGGGGGTTGCAGGGTGTGCACAGGGGGGTGGGTGCTGGGACACAGGTGGGTGCTGGGTGCATGGGAGCCCAGATGTGCATGGTAGGTGGGTGCAGAGGTGGGTGCAGAGCTGGGAGGTTGGCTGCACACAAACAGTCGGTGGGTGCAGATGCAGGTGTGCATCCCCACATTCACAACAGGCGGGTTCAAGCGTTGGTGGCTGTCCAGATGTGCACAGCACCAGGGGACAGATGTGAGGCGGGCGCCAAAACCAGTGTGTGCCTCCACCCGCTGTGGAGTGCTAGGGTGTGTGTGGGGCAAGCAGGAGCTGTGACCAGAGCTGGGTTCTCTGTCTGGCACTGGGCTGGGTGCTGGGTCCTGGTTCAGTGCCAGGTCCAGGGCTATGCTGAGCTGGAGCAGGACTGGATCCAGGTCTGGGGCTTGGTCTAGGTCCATGTCTGTGTCCTCACCAAGTGTCAGGTCTCAGCTCTCGGTCTGGGTCCACATCCGAGCTTTCCATCGTGCGCTGGGTCCAAGTCCCGGGGCGGGGCCGGTGCCGGGTCCGTGTCCAGGGCTGGGCTGAGGTTTGGTGCCGGTACTGGGGCTGGGTCCAGGTCCGTGTCTGTGCCCAGGTCTGGTCCAGCTCGGGTGCTGGGTCTCGGTTTGGGTGCGGGTCCGTGGCTGGGTGCAGATCCGGCTCCGTGGCCAGGTCCTGGTGCGGGCGGCGCCGGTGCCGGTCCCGATGCGGGTCGGGGCGGTGCCGGTTCCCGGTGCTGGCCCCGATGCTGGTCGGTGCCGATGCCGGCCCGGTCCTGGTGTGGGTCGGAGCGGCGCCGGTGCCGGTGCTGTTCCGGTGTGGATCGGGGCGGTGCCGGTGCCGTTCCCGGTGCGGGCTGGGGCGGTCTCGGTGCCGTTCCCGGTGCGGGCTGGGGCGGTGCCGGTGCCGTTCCCGGTGCGGGCCGGGGCGGTGCCGGGTCCGGTCCCGGTGTGGATCGGGGCGGTGCCGGGTCCGGTCCCGGTGTGGATCGGGGCGGTGCCGGTGCCGTTCCCGGGGCGGTGCCGGGTCCGGTCCCGGTGCGGGCCGGGGCGGGGTCGCCGCCGGGGCCGAGCGGAGCCGGGCGGGCGCGGGGAGGGCTCAGGCGGCGGCGCCTGCGCGGGGCCATCGCGGCGCTCCGCGAAGTTCCGCGGGGCCCGGGGAAGTTTGGGCTCGGCTCGGCCCCGGCCATGGCCTTCCGCCGGCGGGCCAAGAGCCACCCGCTCTTCAGCCAGGAGTTCCTCATCCACAACCACGCCGACATCGGCTTCTGCCTGGTGCTCAGCGTCCTCATCGCCCTCATGTTCGAGGTGAGACGCCCCCGCCATCGCCCCCCGCCGGGACCGGCTGTCCGAGTGTCCCTACCCCGTGGACGAGGTGACCCCCACCTTGGTCTGCATGGGGTGTCCCCTCCTGGGGCTGTCCCAGCTCGGGAGGGTCCCCACCCGGCCCAGGTGCCCTCATCCCGTCCGGGGAGGGGGCTGTGGGGTGCGGGACCCCTCGGTCTGGGCTCAGAGTGCCGCCCCATTCATTCCCCATCGCTCACCCGGCACCGGAGCGGTTCCCCACATCGCCGCGGGGACCCAGCCTGCTGCTGGCTTTAGGGGTGGCACATCCTTCTGCCCCCGCTCCAGCTCTGCCAGGGGTCCCTGCCTGGGGAGGGGGAGCACAGGGGGTGTCAAAACCCCTGCCCCGAACCCACCGCAGCTGCCGGGATGTCCCGAGCGCTGAGGGGCGCATCAAGCGAGAAGCCAAGCCTTGTCTGATATTCCCAGCTCTTGGAAATGGAAGAAATTTTTTTTTCCTTTTTTCCCCCCTTTTTTTCTTTAACAGTAGCCCTTTTCCAGGTGTTTTCTCCGCAGCCCGCTGATCCCCGCTCCGTGGGACGAGCGCCGGGGGCTCCCGGGCCTGGGGCAGCGGCTCCCCGGCCTTTCCCATCCCGCTGAGCCACGGGAAGGCATCCCCGGCATTCCTCCCCCTGCCGGGGTGGCCGCAGACCCCCGCAAGGCCCCTGTCCCACCACGGCCATGCCGGGAATGCCGCTCCGTCCCTCCCGCTGCTCCGGCTCCTTCCCTGTCCGCCCGCTTTCCCCGTGCCTGGCTCCGGGCATCCCGCACCGAGCAGCGGGCCCTGGTCAGCGGCACCGCCGGCCGGGACCCCCCCGCCTCCCCCGCTGAACCCTCCCCTTCGGCACTGCCACGTTTCAAAGCAAATCCGGATGGGAAAGGGGTGGCCGGGGGGCCTGGCGAGGGAGGAAAGGCTCCTTCTGTAGCAAATCGCAGGAGGAGGAAATCCATTTCCTTAATTCCTCCCCGCTGGCACCCCCTTGCTTTTCTATCCCCCTCTTTTTTTTTTTTTTACTGCGAACTCATTGAATGAACGAGTCTCTTAGAGCACTCGAACCCTTCTCGACGTCCTTGTGCATGTATGTATATTTATTTAAGGGTTTCAAAACCGACCCAGGAGGGCCAACTGTATTCCAAAGCCACATGCAAATGCTGCAAAGTTGGGCTGCAAGTTTCGTACTTGTACTTTAAAAAGAAAATGCTGCTGAGGTTGCATCTCTGTCTCTGGGTTTCTCCCTGCAGATGGGTTTGTTGCATATTGGGAGCCCTGTCCTGGTGAAGTGGTACCTGGGCTTGCTGCTGTGGTGCTTTTGGTTGATACGGTGCTGTGAGGGCAGTTCTAAACAATGATGAACCTCCCCCCGTGGAGGTGACAGCAGGGAGGGATTTGTGGTGTATCTGTGGTTTTTTAATGTATTTTAATTAAATCTCCCTCGGATGCTGAAGGCAGCAGTTTGCTACTCTCCAGCAGACCTAGGGAGACAGAGCTTGCCATGCCAGGGTGGCTTCCAGTGCTCCCTGTGGCTGGCAGCATCATCCCTTGGCATGGGGCTTGGGACAGCTCTTGGTCCTTGTGGGTATTTCAGTTTACTTTTATTTTATTATCACATTTATTCCTTCTGCTTTGTTTTCCCCTGGAGGGGAGATCAGCCTCTGCTCTTGCCCATCCCTGCAAACCATCCGTGCCTGTTTGTGCCACCTCTGTGGTGAGTTTTGGTGGCAGCTCTGATCCCTTGCCATGCTGAGGAGGACCTGTCACTGTTGCTTCCCCTCCTTCTCCTGTCATCCCTGCTTCCCACCCTGCAGCCAGGCTTGCACCTTCCCCAGTGCCAGTGGCCACAGCCAAGCTCAGGCCCAGCGGAAGAGGCCGAATCCTGCTCACAATAGGCCGTTTCCTGCAGGGGAGGTTTTTTTGGGAAGACACAAATAAGGTTTTTAACCTTTTCCCAGGCATCCCTCAGGAGCTGACTGCTTCCTTGCTCCAGCACCCTGCTTGGGGTGATGCTGTGGGGCTGCCACGGGTCTCCCACTGCTCAAGCACAGCATCAGCTGCACCTTGAGCATCTTTTTAGATGCACAACCTTTCCCCATCCACATGGATTCTCCAAGCTGGTAATTCCTCTGTGGCAGGGAGCAGGTGCCAGTCATGATGGGATTTGGTGACATGAGGCTGCTCATTGCTGTTCCAGATAATTTGATTATTTCAGTATTGTGTGTGTTTTTGGGGATCATTGCATTGCTCTGGGAGGGAAGCCCCAGGCTTGGAGGGAGTTTCCCCAAAAAGAGCTGTCCTGAGCTGGGCACTACAAAGGGTTTTTATTTCCCAGCCAGCCCTAAGCCTTCAGGGTGTGAAAACACACTTGGTTGTGCAGCTGCCTGATGCCAGAGAGGGATTTTGCCACATGTTTGTGGCTGTTGGAGCCCAGAAAGAAAAACCTCTTTTTTTTTTTTTTATTTTTTTGTGTAAAACTATTTTTAGTGAGTCTGTATAGAAACGCGAAACAGGTGCTTCCCATCCTCATGCAGAAATTACTTTGCATATCTTTTTCCACCCTGCTTTGCAGAAAAATGAAGCAAAGGCCAGGCTGGGTTTAACCTGTGTCCCACCAGGGATGGTGCCTGATCAGGTTTGGGGAAAACTTGGCTGATTTTGGAGAAGTTTCTATATTAGATGAGGGCTGCTGTTGTAATCTCTAATGTGGGGACACTGAGGCTCAGTCTTATGCCTGGGGTGATGAAATAAAGCTATAAACCATTGTTTTAGCAGCGGTTCCATGCCCTTGCTGGGCTTTCCCTCTGTGCAGATCGTGGGATGTGAGTCACGGGCTCCCAGGCTCAGAGTTGTGACACTCAGGAGAAGGCAGCTGACGAATGAGCTGCTATTTCCAGGCTTCCTGCTAAATATACTTTCCCCTTCCCAGTCCCCTCTGTAGTACTCTAAAAATTAAGGCCTTCCCATTGTTAATGAGGGAAAACAAAATGCATTCCTGCCTCCCCTGGTCTTTGCCAGATGTAGGAGCCGAGGCATGTGGGGGATGTAAGTGTTGAGTGCTGGGAAGAGTGGAAAAAAGGTAAAAAAGCACAGTATTTAGGTTTACTTTTAAAAAGGGAATAAACAGGAGGGAGGGTGAGGCAGTGGAAATAGTGTCATGCTGGGGGATGAGTTTGTCTGTGGGGGCAGAGGGGCTGCACCGCCCTTGGGAAGGGCTTTTTGTCAAAGCCAGATGTTTACTTTGAAAGGCTTTGGTCCAAAGTTTGGGCTTTAGTTTACATATAGGGCCTGTGTCAATCCATACTGTGCATGAGCAAGTTTGTCTTTCAATAAACTCTGGGAAAAAGAAACCCAAAGTTGTGAGAAAAGCCTTTGGACAGCATTTTGTCTGTAATTAGTCTGAGTTGTTTTTCAAGCCCTGGAAATATTTTCCCAGCTCAGACTGCAGAAAACTCCCCCAGCCTCCCCCACCAGAGGTTTGGAGCTGCTGCTTTCTTCTAGAATGGCTTTAACTCAAGCAGGACCATGGGGAGGGTGGCATGCCTGGGGGTTCCTGGCTGTGGTGAAGGCAAATCCCACTGGGATGAGGTTTTGGAGAAGAGAAATGTGTTTCATAGAATCTTGGAATTGTTTGAGTTGGAAGGGACCTTAAAACTCTTTCCAACCCTCTGCCATGGGAAGGACAACTTCCACTAGACCAGATTGCTCAGGGCCCTGTCCAACCTGGCCTTGAACACTTCCAGGGATGGGGAGTCCACAACCAATCTGGGCAAGCTGTTCCAGGAGTTTATGGAGTGTGCTGGGGAAGGATGCTCAAAAATTATCCCTCATTCCTGAAAATATTAGTGTTTGAGAGTTGCAGTGGGTAATTTCTGGGAGAAGTGCTAAACTGCCTGGATGTGTGTGCTTAGACACCTCTTTAAAAGCCACTTGCATATCTGAACAAGTGGAGTTGGGATTTTTATGAGGAGCATTTCATGGCCAGGGTAAAAACAGCATCTTCTGAATTGCTGGGTGGGGCTCTGAGCACCCTGCTCTGTGGAAGGTCTCCCTTCCCATGGCAGGGGGTTGGAACATGATCTTTAAGGTCCCTATCAACCCAAACCAATCTGGGATCTAAAAAAGGATGGGGAGAGCTTTGCTGCTCTGTATTAGGCAGCAATCTCCAGGCTAGGGAGGGAGGTGGATTTTTCCAATCACCACATTATCAGGGATTAAATGCCTGGTGGTAGACAGTAAATGTGTGGTAGTGCTGGGATTGCTTGGCTTTATCTTTTGCTCTGCCACTCTGGGCTGCAAGGTGGATGTGCTGATTTGGTTTCTGGCCATGAGAAACAGCCTCATCCCTATCCTGGCTGATCCAGGCATCTGAGGAAACTCTGGTCTTGGTGGACACATTGAGTTTTGCCTCTTTATCACCCATCTGCACTTTGGTCCATGAGGTAGTGGCTTTAACCAGCAGAAAGCCACTCATTGCTGAGGATGTGGTTCCTTTTTCATGGCTGTAGAGAGCTCCCAGAACAACTGCTTCCCAAATTTACCTGGTTCAGGCACACAGAACCATAAAATCATTAATGTAGGGAAAACCCTCTAAGGTCATTGACTCCAGCAATTCTCCCAGCACTGCAAAGGCCACCACTAATCCATGTCCCCAAGTGCCACATCCCTCATGAAAGGCAGGATGAGGCTGGGATGAGGAACATCTCCCTCTGCATAGAGGTGCCCTTCATGCAGGCCAGGGAGTGGATGAGAAATAAATATACAGTGTTTGCTACATGGTCCCTGCTCTGTGTGTCCCATGGAGACAAATCTCTCCCCCACCCTCTAAAAGGTTGTGCCAGGAAGGATTAGGTTGCATATGAGGAAAATGTCTTTGCTGGAAAGGCAGTCAGGGATTGGAACAGGCTGGAAGTCATGGAGTCACCATCCCTGGAATTGTTCAGAACTTCTGCAGATGTGGCACCTGTGGCCATGGTTTTGTGGTGGGCTTGGCAGTGCTGGGGGAACAGCTGGATTCCATAATCTTAGAGGACTTTTCCAACCTAAATTATTCTATGATTCCATGAATTGTGCCCCTGCCAGTAGCAGTTTAGGGGCAGCTTTGGCTCTACTCACTGGCAGTGAGTGCAGGGCAGAAGTGTGCCCAGCACTTCTTTTTCCATATCAGCATCCAGTTTCAGAGCAAGTCTTGTGCCTCTGAATAATCCTCACATTGCTCTTCCCACTCCAAACTTCTGCTTTCCCTGGCTGCTTATGAAATGCTCAAGGCAGGCTCTGAAAGGTTTTGTCATCCCTGGTGCTCATCCCTATTTCCCAAGCCAAGGAAACCTGGTTTTTGCCTTGCAGGTGCCTCCATCTAGGAGGTTACATTTGTCTTTGGTTGTTAAAATATTTCACTGAGGCTTTATGAAGCAACCTGCTACCCCTCTGTAAGGAAAGGTGGGGGGTGCTGGGATGGCTCCAAAGATCCTGGTGGTTCTGCAGCCCACAGGAAGCAAAGGCAGTTGTGGAGATGGGACAAAGCATTGCTTGATGGAGGAACCTTCCTACCAGGTGCTCTGGGAAAGAAGATCAGGAAAAAGAAAAAGAAGATCAGGATTGGAACCTGTGCTGGGGCTGAGCTCTGTCCAGGCATTGCTTCCTACCCTGGAGATACTCTGGGGCCATTTTCCTGGACTCACAGCTCTGGCCTGTGTCCTCTCCAGCAGGTTAGGAAGCTTTACCTGGAGATGATGTCTTGTTTCCAGCTGTTCATAGCAATGGATGTCAGCCAGGTACTCGGGGAGCTGCAAATCCATCAGTGCCTGCTGCCTTTAGCACGTCCGTGACACGGCCGCCCATCCCTGCAGCACCACAGCCACCACTGGCTCCATGCCTTTTGTTTCATGCCCTGTGCCAGCCTGTGGCAAGGTTTGGATGTAAACTCCAGTCCTGGATGTGCTTTACAGCTCTGGGATGAAGCAACTTGGCTTTCCCATCCAGCAAGGTCTGCAGGAGCCAGAAGTGTCTCCCTCAGCCAGCTTGAGGCCAGGCGATGCACTTTTTCCATTCCCACCCCAAACTCTGCCCATGGTCTCCATCTCCTGCATCTACTCCTCCACAAACAGAGCACTACATGTGGGATTTCCTTTTTTTTTTCTTTTTTCTCAGTGGAAAAAGTAATAAAATCCCCAAACATCACAAAAACACACCATGGAGTTTGCTGTCCCTGAGCTGGGGCTGCCTGCACTGGTTGCTCAATGCTGATGGTGGCAGGATGGGAACGCTTGGCAAAGTCCCCCTGTCTCCCCCACAAGCTGTGGAGCAATTTCCAGCTGGGATTTTAATATCCTGCAGCTCTGAAGCAGTGGCAGCCATGTCTGTGTGAAATGCAGCTCATCTCTGTCAGTGTTTGACAGGCACAGGATTTTTTGGAAATGGTTTTGTTTGAGGATGGGTGCTTGTGAAGCCTTGGAGGGTTGTCTGGGAGCCACGTGAAAGGGAAAATCTGGTGACCTGATGCCAGGGATGGGATGCAGACATGTTTGGTGTTGGGTGTCTGTGCACTGGATTTTACTGTGGCCCCAGTTTGAGGGTGCTTTGGTCTCAGAAATGCAGTTTTGGGGTGTCCTGTGGGGTGGATGCTCTGCCCCATCCCGACAAAGCCTCCTGCTTTGCTGCTGGGGAGGAGCAGCAAAATTAAATTCCTTTGAATTCAAAGCAATTTAGTCAATGGCCACCTCACTGGTGATCAATGACAGGATCAGAGGGAGTGGCTGGAGCTGTGTCAGGAAAGCTTTAGGTTGAATATTAGGAAAAGGTTTTTTCCACCCTAGAGAGTGGCTGGGTACTGAACAGGCTCCTCAGGGAATGTTCACAGCCCCAAACCTGACAGAGTTCAGGAAGGGTTTTGACAACATTCTCAGGCACAGGATGGGATTCTTGGGGTGTCCTGTGCAGGGACAGGAGTTGAATTTCCATGATCTTTTTGGTCCCTTCCAAAGGGGCCCTTCGCCTGGCCCCTTTTTGGATATTCCGTGATTCGATTCTATGATTCAATAAATGAAAAGTGAGCAGCACAGCCCTGAGTTTTGGATGTCCTGATGCCTCATCCCAGGCTTTTTTTTTCTCTTTTTGGCCATGCACCTGGGATCTTGTGGGTGACCAGTGCGAGGTTCTGTGTTTCTGCAAGTGAAGCTGGTGCTGGCACATCTCCCTGGGTGATTTGCCTTTCCCATTGTGATGGGACAAAAAAAAAACTGGTTCAGAGGAATGGATTTAACAACTGATTTGCTTCTTCTCCCCTCTGTGTCTTTGACAGGTCACAGCCAAGACTGCCTTCCTGTTCATCTTACCTCAGTACAATGTTAGTGTGCCTACAGCAGGTAAGAGATGCCTCTGCTCCACAAAGAAGCTTGGATTCCTCCCAAGAAGAGGGAGGAGTCTGGTTTGCCCCACATCCTCACTCCCAGCTGCCTTGGGCTCACCCTGGACTCATCAACTGCTCAGGGTCTTGTCTGGCAGTAAATGCAGTCTGACAGAGATGTTAAAAATAAGATATTTTGGGAAGAAACAAAGTTTGAGTGGCTCAGAGCACTCTGATCATGTCTCATGCAGCCAGGGTTGGGAAGAAATCTTTCCAGGGAGTCTGGGGGCTTCCTCCCTCTTTCTGCCATGGCCAGGCCACTCTGTGCTCCCTGCAGGATGAGGGTGCTGCCCCAAGCCTGCTCAGGCAGGATCCAGCTGTGTGATTGCCTGCCTGGAGCAGCTTCTTGTCCCCCTGAGGAGCAGGAGGGATTTACCTCTTTGCCAAGCAGCAGGGGCTGTGCATGTCACCCCTGTCCTGCTGATTTTTGGGGATGGCACCTGGAGGGAGGGGAGGGTGTGGAGATGGACATGGTGCACTCTGACCCTGTTCACAGGGGTCTCAGGTTGAGGGAAGAGACAAGGATTTGACTCCATGTTTCAGAAGGCTCGATTTATTATTTTATGATATATATTGCATTAAAACTATACTAAAAGAATAGAAGAAAGGATTTCTTTAGAAGGCTAGCTAAGAATAGAATAGAATAAGAAGGAATGATAACAAAGGCTCTGTCTTGGACTCTCTGTCCAAGCCAGCTGGGCTGTGATTGGCCATTAATTAGAAACATCCAACATGGGCCAATCAAAAATCCACCTGTTGCATTCCACAGCAGCAGATAATCAATGCTTACATTTTGTTCTTGAGGCCTCTCAGCTTCTCAGGAGGAAAAATCCTAAGGAAAGGATTTTTCATAAAAGATGTCTGTGACAGTGCACAGCATCCCTGATTCACAGGGAGTAAATTCCAGGAGGCTGTGAGCTGGTGCAGCTCAGAAGTAAATGGACCAGAGGAGGTGTCCCAGCTCCCAGCCAGGAGGCTCAGCCTCTATTATTCCTATTTTGGCTGCTGGTTTCTGCCTTCCTGGCTCAGAGCCCCTCTGGATCTGGCAGGGATCTGGGCACTGGCCTGGAGACAGCAGGAGGTGCTTTGGGTAAAGGCCTAGGCTCGGGATGAGCCAAATGCCTGGGGCACAAAGCTTGGCCTGGTGGCAGAAAACTGCAGTTAATTGGGAGTGTTTGAGTAATCATCCAGAGAAAGAGCAGGGTTGGGATTAGGGGAGCTGCAGAGAGGCAGACATGTGGAAGATAAAAGCTCTGCCCTTAAAGGCTTTGGTTATGGCTGAAGGAATCATGCAGCTTCCAGATTAAATTGTGGTCCCTTCTCCCCTGTGGCACAGTCCAGACAACTTCTGCTGCTGGTTTTTTGGGATATATTCTTTCATGATATGAGAAGTCCCAGGGGGCACAGAAGCACCTCCCCAGGACCAGGTACTGGGGTATCAATATAGGGCATGGACTAGTGGGGAGAGAGACCTTACTGCAGCGGCTTCTTGGGAGGAATCTAAATTTTTCCAAGGCTTTCCCACATCCTCCACAGTTCCTGCTAGAGGTGCCCTGGAGAGAGGAAGCAGAGCACATGAATATGATATTATTTTTTTTGGCCTTGCAATTTTGTCTTTTACCTTGCTCTGGGATGCAGGCACCATTTTAACCTCTGGGTCTGCGCAGCACTGGGGGCTCCTAAGGACAGAGTGTTTTCATATCCTTTTGCCAGGTGTGTTCATAAATCCTGTTCAAATCTTAGAAATCTGGAATGAAGCTTTGTTTAGGGTAGGCAGGGCTGGTGACAGAGCAGTCTCTTCCCAGCACTGGTATCAGGAGAGGACAGACTGGATCAGGGTGAGGGAGAGCAGCAGCCAGGAGTGGGCTGAGCTTCTTGTGATGATACTGCAGCCTTCCCAACTCTGCTTCTTCCCATAAGCTTCAGGGCTGAAAATAGTCACCTAAATGCAGATGTCTGGGATATTTTGGGTGCTGCTGGGTCTCCTGTTGCTCCAGAAGAGCACAGCCCCCTGTGGGTCTTATATCTGATCCACCAGCCCTGTGCTGCTGCCTCAGATCCCTGAATAGCAGAAGGCATCTGCACGTAGGCATCTGAATCCCGCTCCAGCAGTTTTCAGGGAGGAGTGGGAGATCATAAGGAAATGTTAAATCATAACTGAGGGGGTGGAAATCCTATCCCAAGCCCTGATGTTCCTAGTGGGGCATCCCTGATCCCGTGACCTGCTTCAGCCTCCCATGTCTTCATCCCTCCAGGTGATAAATTCCCATCTCCACAGCTGAGCTGTCCCCAGTGGCAGGGGGATGCTTTTAGTGTCCCCAGTGACCTCTCCATTGAGGTGTGTACCTGTAAGAGGGGAAACCACCAATGTCTGCCACGAGCTACCCCTGGAGAGAGCCCTTTGGCCACTGCCATAGTCATGACCTCTCTCTGGTGTCCCCATCCAAGCTGCTCCCCACTAAGCCCTCACCTGGAAATCCTTTGGGCCACGGGGGTCTGACCCTTGCTCTGGTGTCTTTGCAGATGGGGAGCTGGTCCAGTATCACTATGGGCTGAAGGACTTGGTCACCATCCTCTTCTACATCTTCATTGCCATCATCCTGCACGCGGTGGTGCAGGAATACGCCCTGGATGTGAGCACCATTCCCTGTCCTGTGTCCTCAAATACCTCAAATCCCACGGGGGGCTCTGCACTTAAATGCTCTTCTGGGGGTGGTCTGGGGGCTGAGGTGGTGATGAGTGAGCCTTCATCCCTGGAGGCTGCTCAGGATGAGGAGGAGAGACAGAGTTGATGGTGGCTGATGTTTTCTTGTTGTTTCTCTCTCCCTCTGCTCCTTCCCAGAAAATCAACAGGCGTCTGCATCTCTCCAAGGTCAAGCACAGCAAGTTCAATGAGTCAGGGCAGCTGGTTGCCTTCCACCTCACCTCTGTCATCTGGTGCTTGTACGTCGTGGTGACGGTAAGGCACGGGGCTGCCTGGCATTTGGGTTTCCAGGGGGAACTGTGGCTTCTGGAGCACAAAATCCCACTGGCAGCAGAGTCCCCAGCCAGCTTCTGGGTCAAAACAGGCACATTTCAGCCAGTTTAGTTTTCAGCTGTGGTGGATCTTTCCTGAAGGCAGTTTTGGGAGATCTTTCCTCCTGTATTGTACAAGGCACAGGTAAATGGGCTGTGAAATATTTTTGGAGCTGGGTCCCAGAAATCCTGCCTGGCCCCATCATCTCCATCCTCTGCTTCAGGACCTGATGCCTTTCTCAGCTTATTTTCCTCCTTGTGTACATTCAGTGCCTTGAGGTTTCTGGGTGCCTTTTGTGGGCTCATGGGGCTTATGGGCAGAATTTGGGATCCCTCTTTATTGTTCCTTCCTTGGCAAGCTGATGGTGAGGGAATCTTTGAAAACAAGGAAACCTTGCTGTTCCTTTGGGTGTCAACCCAAAGAATTCAGAGGGAAAACTGTCATTTTGGGAAGGAAGGGAGAGGGAAGAGCAAGTGGTGTGGGAGAGATCTGACTGTTTTGGCAGTGTGAAGTGATGATGCTTTGCTCCCTGCAGCCATTGGGGTCCAGCTGTGGACTGCAGTGGCTCTGGGGATGGATTCTTGGGGACAGATTCCCTCCCCACTGCTGAGAGGGTCCTGCCAGCCCTTCTTAGAGAACTACTTTTCCCTTCAAGGCCAGCTTTTCTAGAGAACTGCTGGCACTGCCTCTGCCCCATAGGGCTCTGAGGAAGGAAACTTTGGCAGAACAGTTGCTGCTGCTGGTTTTGGGCTCCCTTTGCCCAGTGCCAGACCCATCCCTCAGCAGCTGTGGGGCTGGAACCTCCTGTATAACCTATATTGGTGTGATGTGCTCTCCAAACACCCAACATGTGCAGAGCAGGTCACTCTTGTGCTTTCCTGGCCTTCTCTAGCTGAAAAAAAGGGTCTTGGGACAGCCAGGGAATGGATGATGGTGACTGGGCAGGACAAATTTCCAATGCCAGCATCTCCTTGCAAAGCCTAGGGCAGCATCCATGTGGCAGGAGTGAGAAAGGAGTCCCATTCTCTAAGGCAAGAGGTGGAAAATGAAACTATCCAATTCATATCCAGTTATTTTTGCTAGTGTTTTCTGTTCCTCTTTCTCTTCAGAAGCATTTCTTGTTGCTTAAGTGCTGCTGGGGTTGGAAATGCCAGTGGGGAAGAAGCCTCTGGACCGTGCACATGGCTGCCTGAGCCATGCTACAGGAATCTCACCCCTACACCTCCAGAGCATTCCAAACCCCAAAATATCCTCTCCTGAACTTGGGACCCTCTGTGCAACTGAGCAAGCAGCTTTCAGCCCCCAAACAAGGGGCCTGGTGAAATTTTAGAGGGTTGCTGGAGACCCACAGATGCAGAGCTCGGCCTTGGCTCTCACAGGGAACATGATTTTTCCTGTAGGCTGTGACAAGGCTTGGGTGTCATCCCCAGTTCCTCCTTTCACTGTACCATCAGCTCACCCTCTCATAACCTGTTTTGTTTTGGTGAAGCCTTGCCTCTCTTCTCTTTTTCAGGAAGGATACATTTCAAACCCCCGGAGTCTGTGGGAAAACTACCCGCATGTTTATCTGCCGTAAGCACTTGTGAGGGCATTTCGTTCTGGGGCTGGCCACTTCCTTCCTCTCCATGGTTTTCCCTGCTGGGAGTGGGTGCTGACAGCACAGCACCCTCTGCATGCACCCTGCAGCAAGGATGCTGCAGTGAGACCGTGGGCAGTGGGGATATCTCATTTGTGAGCCTGGGGAGGGGTGTTCCAGAGGGTTTCATGAGGAAGGCCCTGTGGGCTTTGTTACTCATCCTGCCTGTTTCCTGCATCACCTTGGGAAAGTCTCTTTGCAGTTCATTTTTCACAGCAGAAATGTAGTGGGAGATGACCCTTCCTTCTTGGTTTTTAACAAAAGTGAGGTTTGCTGAGAGCACAGAGACCACAGCACAAGCATCTGGATAAATTTTGTGTGTGGCTCTCCCGGCTCAACAAATAATTTCAGCCCTGAAATGATTTCTCCTAAATCCCATGGCTCCAAAACAGTGGAGGGATTGCCCAATGCTGCCCTGGCACTCAGGTTCTTGGGGTTCTGCCTTGGCCTAGGCTGGCTCACGTGGCTCCTCCGTGCATTTCAGGTACCAGGTGAAGTTTTTCTACCTGTGCCAGCTGGCCTACTGGCTGCACGCCCTGCCCGAGCTCTACTTCCAAAAAGTCCGCAAGGTGAGAGCCAGGTGGAGGTTTTGGGAGAGGGAGGGTGGCTGGAGAGGGCTGAGAGGTTGATTTGGCTTTTCTGCCCCTGCCAGGAGGAGATCCCCCGGCAGCTGCGCTGCATTGCGCTCTACCTGCTGCACATCGCCGGCGCCTACCTGCTCAAGTGAGTCACTGCCCCAGCATCCCCTCCCACTCCAGGGATGGGGCTGGGCAGCTGCTTCTGCCCTGGGGGACACCTGGGAATCCTCAGTAGGGTAGGGTGAGGGGTTGTTTCAGTGGAGAGTGACTTGTTACAGTGGAGAGTGACTTAGGCAGGTATATAGGACAAGGGGAATGGTTTTAAACTAGAAGATATTTGGATATTGGGAAGAAATTCTTCTCTATGAGGGTGGTGAGGCACTTGGCACAGGTTGTCCAGAGGGTTTCCCATCCCTGGAAGTGTTCAAGGCCAGGTTGGATGGGCATTGGAGCAACCTGGGACAGTGGAAGATGTCCAGGGCAGGAGGGTGGAGTGAGACGATCTTTAAGGTCGCTTCTCACCCAAACCATTCTCTGCTAAAAAGCAGAGCAGCCTTGCCAGCCATAGGGTTTTGTGTTGGATATATCCCAGCTCTGCCAGTGTTTTGGATGGTTTGTTGGTGGTTTGTAGACAGAGATTTCCCCTACTGCAGTCCTACCCCCACTGCTGCACAGAGGTCTGGCTTTGGGCTGGCACTGCAGCTCATGGACAGCAGGGCTGAGGCTGCAGCTGAGTTTGAAGGATGAAGGTTGAAGGTTGAAGGATGAAGGTTGAAAGGTGAAGTCTGACCATCCCAGTGATGCTTTTTTTTCCTCTTCTCTGCCAGTTTAACCCGCCTGGGGCTGATCCTCTTGCTGTTGCAGTACTTTGCTGAGTTCTTCTTCCACATGGCAAGGCTGGTTTACTTCACGGACGAGAACAACGAGAAGCTGTAAGCAGGGGAGCTGCCTGTGCCTCCCATCCTCCTTTGGAGCCCAGGAGAGCCTGGATCTTGCTCTCTCCTCCTGGGTCAGCACTGGGGCTGCTCCTGCCCACACCTCTGCTTGCCCTCCTGCAGGTTTAATGTCTGGGCCGTGGTGTTTGTGGTCACCAGGCTCTTCACCCTCACCTTGTACATCCTGGTCATCGGCTTCGGGCTGCCACGCGTGGAGAGCCAGGCCCTGGACCCTGAGAGAGGGAACTTCTTCAGCTTCCTCTTCAACAATATTCTCTTCAGGTAGGAATGTCCTATGTGTCTTCCCCCTCTGTGTTATCCCAGCATGGGTTTTTCTGATTTTGTAAATCATGGAATACCAGAATGGTTTGGATTGGAGGGGACCTTGAAGATCATCTCGTTCCAATGCCTACTGTGGACATGGATACCATCACTGGACCAGGTTGCTCCAAGCTCCATCCAAATGGGATCCAGACAGTGATGATCTGATCCTGATTCCATTTAGGGAAGGTCTTAGTGAGCTGAAGGGGGTGTGGAGGAAGCAAGGAGGAGTTTAAAGGCTACAGAGAGCCCAAACGGAGGGGGAAAGTCAGGAAATTAAGTGTTAATCAAGTGAAGTTATAAAATGCAAGCCTATGTTGGAGAAATGCTTGCAGGCTTTCCCTGTTTTACCTGTAAGTGCATTTACACGGATGTGGTCAAGGAAAAGGCATTCTCCCTTCTGCTTGGCCATGTTTTGCTGCTTGTTGATGTGGGAAGCAGAGAGTAGAATGGGCTCCTCATCCCTTGCAGTTTGTCAAGTCTGGGAGCCTTTCTCGCCCTTGCAGCAGCTGTGGTTTCAGTTCAGAATTTGCTAGGCATGGTCATTCTCAAGCTTTTTGAAGCCAAGGACTGCTGGCACACCTGAGGATTTGAGGGTCTTTCTTACCTCCCTTCCAGGTGGTAATGATGGATGATCCTTTAGATCATCCAGGGACGTCGTATCTTGACTGTGCCACTTTGTGTTTTGGGTAGTGCTGGTTGAGATGATCCTGTTCATCCTGTGGGAATCTACAAAATTAGAGGGTTTTGGGAAAGCTGCAAAAGGCAGGCTTCAGAGACAGTAGAACTGTGATTAGAGCTAAGCTAGCAGGCTTACAAGTAGGTATTGTGTTTGAAGTGGGCAAGCATTGTTTTGACCAAGGAGACGTGTGCTTATAGTGGTTGGATAGAACTACTGTCAATATGCTTTTGCTTTGTGTGATTGGTCAAAAAACTTATAAAGTAAGTTGTAACATTAAGTTCTTAGTCTGCTGCCTGAGATGTGAGCTGGTGGCATCTTCCCATTGTCATAACCATGGAATGAGACTGATGCTGGAAAATAAAACAGCTCAAGGCACGTTCCATAGCAGTCCTGTCCCGTTTGTGATTTGTACATATACCCCTGACCAACGATACATCCATTTCTGCCCTAAAGTTGAAAGAATCAATGAATCAAAACCTGAGAGCCTTATGACATGGAGGGAAAGGAAGGTGGCTGCTCTGGGCTCAGGGGTGGCAGAAAAGAGAGACGGTGGCTGGAGGGATGGCATCTGCCACGTGGGGGGACCTCGGCCACCACCCCCAGTGTGGGGGGAAGGCCGGGCTGGGGGTGGCCTCGCTGCTGTGTTCTCAGCCTGCCTCTTCTCCACCCCTGGCAGAATGAGTGTGCTGCTGTTGGTGTGCCTCTTCCAGGCCTCGGTGATGTGGCGCTTCATCCACTTCCAGCTGCGGCGCTGGAGGGAGTACTGGAACGAGCAGAGCAGTCGGAAGCGAGCCGCCGCCGCCGCTGCTGGCACCAGGCAGCAAACCAAGCTGCTCAAGAGGGACTCGGGTGAGTGCTGGAAGGGTGGCACTGTGGAGGGGTCAGCCCTGGGGTTCAGCATCCCCCCAGCATGGTGCTGCCCGTGCAGGATGTCCCCTGTCAGCAGTGTCCTGATGTCGTGGGGGTTTCCCCATGTCTGTGGGACAATCGTGAGAGAATAAAGGGTTTGGCTTGTGCAAGGGACAAAGTTTCTTTCTCCGTAGAATCACAGAATGGTTTAAGTTGGAAAAGACCTCTGAGGTCATGGAGTCCAACCTTTGTCCAATCACCACGGTGTCAACCAGACTAGAGCACTAAGTGCCACGTTAAGTCATTCCTTGGACACCTCCAGGGGTGGTGACTCCAAACCTCTCTGAGCAGCCCATTCCAATGTTTAATCACCCTTTCTATAAGGAAGTTCCTTCTAATGTCCAACCTGAACCTCCCTTGTGGCAGCTTGAAGCCATTTCATCTTGCCCTGTCCCTTGTTCCCTGGGAGCAAAGCCCCACCTGGCTGCACCCTCCTGTCAGAGACTTGTGTCAAGCGAGAAGGTCCCTCCCAAGCCTCCTTTTCTCCAGGTTAAACACCCCCAGCTCCCTCAGATTACACTCCAGAGCCCTCACCAGCTCCATGTCCCTTTGTTGCCACCCCCAGGTTACCATGAAAACGGAGTGGTGAAAGCAGAGAACGGAACCTCACCCCGCACCAAGAAGCTCAAGTCTCCATAGAAGCCAAGGGTTGTCTCCTGGGGAGGAGGGCGAGATACCAGGACTGAGCAGCCCCTCCTCCTGCTCCTCACGAGCGAGCGGCGTCCCAAAAGGCTCGGGATCATCTTCCCAAGGTGTCTCTCGCTCTCCTCCCTTCCTTTCTTGCTCTCGTGAACCGTTTGCAATAAAACCAAAAAGGCCCCGTTCCCCTTCTCCCATCCCCCTCATAGGAACCTTTTCCAGCCTTCCTGGTTTTGCCTTCCTCTGATCATAAACCAGCGTGCAATTTTTTTTTTTTTCCCTTTTCTATTTTAGTGTTTGGTTATTTTGGTTAAATGGTTACAAATGTATCATAGATGGTTCCAAACAATCCTTTTTTCTCCTACAGCATGTTCCTCCCCTCTCTTCATGGTGCTTCCCTGAGCCCCTGGGACAGGGCCACGACAGCTTGAAGGCACCAAATGTGTGTTATGGGATCAGATTCCTGGGGGAATGTGCTGGGGCTGTGAGATCTGAGGCTCAGGGGTGCTCTCAGGTGAGATGGGGCACAACTGGCCAGCACTCAGCAGGATGGTGATGCTGCAAAGAGAGACCAGGGTCTGATGGAGGAAGCTCAACCCTGTTTTGTCTCCTGGTGGACCTCTGGTTAAGTGGGGTTTTCTGAACTCTGTTTTTGAGAATTTTCGTGAGCTGGGCAGCAGAGAAGGGAGAGAACTTCCCTCTTCATATGGAAGGTCCACCTCCCAGCCTCTGCTTGCCCCAGCTGGGTTTCTCTTGGCTGCCCCGTGGTTGTTCTGAGCCCAGGGCTCTGCAGCTCTCAGTGTTTTGTTAAGGGGCAGCAGCATCCTCAGTTCCATGAGAATCCTTGAGGCCTGCCCTGCTCTGAGTGTTGGCCTGGCTCTTGTCAGCTCAGCCCTTTGCCAGCTTGTCTGTGCCTCTTGGACCTGGTGTTCTTGTTGCTTGTGACCACATCCAAGTGACAATGGGTTGCTGCAAAGGGTTTTTGCATCATTGGGACTGTGCCCCTCATGCTGTCACCTCAGCCTTCCTCGTCCCTACCGTACCAGTCCAGCCATGCCATCGGCAGCCACCAGCTTCACTCTTTGTTTCCAAAGGATACAGTGCTTGTATCTACCCAAGGTGCTATCAAATCCAGGGTTTCTTCCAAAAATCCTAGCCCCTTCATCCCTTTCTGAGCTGTGAATGAGATGACAGGGAAGGAAGGCGAAGGAGGCCGGGGCTGCAAGGAGCAGCTTGCATTTAGGAAGAGCCTGGCTTGTAACACGTAGCTGTTGGCAGATGGAGTTGTCTCAAATCTACCTCAGAGGCCATCTGTTGCTGCAGACCACTTTCCCCTCTTGCTTCTGCCCACTGCCACCTCCACGTGCTGGCAAGAGGTTTTGTGGAAAGCCAGATCCCACCAGCTTCACCCCTCGCTGAGTCTGCTGGGGAGCAGCATCTGCTTGGGGTTTCATGGGTCAGTGCCATCTCTCTGGGCTTCTTTTTGGGGCACCACGCCAAGCTAGGTTTGGCAGGTGAGCAGTAGTGGCACCTCTGTCCCCACACTGTCCTCTGGGGCAGTTCCTGAGCTGGGCTTTGCTGTTGGTGCCTCTTGTGCAGTGAAGTCGGCCGTAGCTTTAGTTCTGCTTGGCACAGCAGGAGCAGGGGACTCGTGGTGTGTCCCCTTGGCTGGGTGAGGAGAGGGACACAGAGCTGGGCTGCTGTCCATGTGCAGTCCAGGATTGATCCTTGGTGTGCCCCTGGCTCAGCCCCTGGGGGCACCTGAACTCCTCTCTTTCCAAGTGCAATTCCAGCTTGAGGCTGGTGCTGCTGTCCTTCGCACCAGTCGTGTTTTGAGGAATGGGTGACAGTTGATTTTCTGCCCCTCTTTGAGCTGAGTTGGGTTTTTCCCCCATTTTTCTGGGTGCCTTTTGTCCTTTCCTCCCCCTCTCCTTGTTGAGGAGGCACTGGAGGAAGAAAACCTGCAGGGACATGAGGACAGTTGGTCAAATTCCACTTGTTCCTCAATCCCCACAACATTTGAGTGTCAAGTGAGAGATGCTGGCAGGAGAGGGCTCTCCCTGTTTTCAGGGGATCTGGGGAAGGAGGCTGGAGCAGAGCCCCTGGTGGTGCCTTGCCATTGCTCCTCCTAGCCTGTGCTGGGAGGATAAGACACTTTTTGCCTCAGAGGCAGCAACAGGACCCGCATTGCAGCGTGATCGGGGGGAAAAGAGCTTTATGTTGGGGAGGACATGGAAAAGGCTGAGTGTGAGAGGTTTTTCCTTTCTCCTGCCTCTTCCCATCCACTTCCATGCCCTGCCAGTGCCCTCCAGGAGTGACTGCTGGCTGGCACCTCCCCAGAGCCTCAGCCAGGCCTTTCTGCAGTGCCGGCGCCTTGCAGCAGCGAGCTGCTGACTCTGTTAGCAGGTGACACATAGAGCCCCCCAAAACCACGGCTGCTGAGTGATTCCTCCTCCTGCCTGCTTGGCTTCAGGCAGCTTTTCCACTTGCACAATCCTATCTCTGTACAGTAGCTGGTGATGCTTTGTATCCCAAGTGCCTTATGTTGTAGCCTCTCTGTGCACTATAGCAGTAGCTGAACACCCTCCTTTGTTACTACGTATGTACAACATATGCTACATTTATGTGTTTTCTGTTTCCTTTTTGATAGAGCTACCAGGAAAAGGGACATTTGTTTTTGAAGCATTTCCATGTGTTCTTTTTATTATTTTGGTTTTTTAAACCTATAGATAATGGGGCTTTTTTTTTTTTTAGCCCTCCCTTATATAGTCCTCAGAAATCCCCACTTTTCTGTTAGACCCAAACCTGGCAGATTGTTCTTTTTTGAGCTGAGCCTTTGTTGTGAGGCAATATCCACTGTCATCCTGGAGGTTTGCAATCCCATCTCCATCAGAGGGGCTGCCATGGGGTGCTCCTATCCCTGTGTTGTAGTGCAAGCACAATCCCTGGGCTGCAAGCCTGCAGTAACTGCTGCTGTTTTTCCTGTGTCCTTGTCATTTCTCAGCAAATCCAGCCTTCCTTTCAGCCCAAAGAGCTTTTTCTTGGAGCGTTTTCATTGCAAGCCCTTAGTGGTCAGTCTGTCCTTGGCCTCTCTGCCTATGAAATGCCACGAGCTCACTTCCTTTTACTGGATGCTCTTCTCATGCCCCATCTGTGTCATCTGCAGAAAACATCATGGAATTGTTGGGTGAGGTTGGAAAATGCCTCCAAACTCGTCAAAGTCCAACCTTTAATCCAACACCAAGATCCAACCCCGAGCAGGAGCTCTTGTCCACCACAGTGCAGAAGGTGATGGAGATTATCCAAAACTTCCAGTGGGACATGATTCATTGCACTCTTCCCATGGGCTTGAGGCTGCTTTAGTAGTCTGTGTCCATTATCCAACCTAAGGAGGTCAGGAATTGAGTAGCCTGTGGTTTTTGGGGTGAAGTGTAGTGTTTTCCTGTCCTAGCCTAGAAGAGCTGTGAAATACCAGCACTAGTTCTCTTTTCTTGTCTTAGGTAGTTGGAGAATGGGCTTGGGAAGAGAAAGGGGTGGAGGAAAAACAGATGTAGCATTTCACATACAGTTTTTTGAGTGACTCTTACATTATGGGGCATTACAGTTGCGTTTTATGTTGTTGTTGTTGTTGTTATTTAGGATTCTTTCTTCTTACTCATCATGTTTGGGTTAATAGTAGCCAAGTTCCAGTTCCCCTGTAGGTCCCCTTACCTTCAACTCAGTGTTTTACCTTAACAAAAAGGTGTTTTTGGTGAGCTTCCTGGTTGGAGGGAAGTGTGGTCGCTCTGGGATGTCTCCTCCTTGCCTCCCAGTGACTCTGGGAGCTTGGAGCCATCCTGCCTTTGCTGCAGTGCCTGGAGCTTTATAGCAGCCTCAGGCTCTTGCCTTTGGTAGATGGACCCCAGGTTGTGTCAGCAGTGGGTGGAGATGATTGGGTTTGATTTACAGCCTTCCAGGAAATGTCATGGGGGATGAAAGGTTGGTTTAGAAGGTTTTATGCCCAGCAGTGAGGTATGTTCCTCCTCCTTGGAGCTGTGTGTGGGGTTTTTCTGGGAAGAATGGCTGTTGGAAAAGCCAGGGAGAGGTGTGTAGTTTTTCCTCAAAAATGTTGAACTCAGCTGATCAAACTTCAGCAAAGGAACTCGAGGAAAAATTCTGTTCTTCCATTTTTATGCTTTAGTGCAAATTTCCTGATTTTGGAGGGGGTGGGGGGATTAACAGTCTCTGGTATTTTATCCCATTTGTTTCATTTTTCCTGTCACTTCAGTTTTTGTACGGATTTTGTTTGTTGTTGTTCGTTGTTCAATGACTTTTGTGATAAACTCAGCAGAAGTATTTTTCTGAAATAAATAAATAAAAGGCATAGATTCTTCCAGTACTGTTTCCACTGGTGCTTTATTATTGCTAAGCTGTGCATGTGGCAGGGGCACCTTCCACTATCCCAGGCTGCTCCAAGCCCTGTCCAGCCTGGCCTTGGACACTTCCAGGGATCCAGGGGCAGCCACAGCTTCTCTGGGCACCCTGTGCCAGGGCCTCACCACCCTCACAGGGAACAATTTTTTCCCAATATTCAATCTAAATCCTCTTTCAGTTAAAAGCCATGCCCCCTTCTCCTGTCACCCCAAGCCCTTACAGCTGGGATTCATCTTCCCACATTTCCCATGTCCACAGCACAGGCAGCTGCTCCAGAGTTCATTATTTGTGGCTGCTTTCATCAGAGGGAGTGGAGGATAAGGGTATTTGTAGGAGATGATTTATCTGATGTGGTTTAGGCGCATATTTTTGGTGAGCTATATTGTATATTTTGTGCAGCTGGCCCCAGGCACACGACATCACTTGGCTGAGGGTTAGGTTATGGTTTCATAGCCTGTGCAGAAAATAGTTTCTTACTTTCTACAGCTCAAGTCATTTCATCTGTAAGTTTTTGGTCTCTTGAAATCTGAGGTGGACCAGAGATCCCTGGAATGATCCTTGGTCTGGGTGAGCAGCAGCACAAAACAGGCCCAGAAGAGAAGAGCAGTGACCTTTCCAAACAAGGGGAGACAGGAGAGAGCTGTCACGTGGGGACTCTCAGCTGTCTGAGGGCAAGTGGGAATCCATGGCACAAAAGCTGATTTAAGGCAACATTTTGTTCCAGAGAGCTTTGTTCTCTGTGTGTGTGACAGCTGCCTTTTCTGGGTGCTCCATGGCAACACCTGGCAGGTGTCACTTGGGGTGAGAGGGCTCCTGCCTCGTTACCTTCACGGGGAGATGAGTAATGGAGCACGGGTGTCATAACTATTGCCATGCCAACTTCCCATGTTCCCTTCTCCTTGGAGACCTGTCTGGTGAGATGACAGGTGGATAAGGTGGGTTTAGATGGGATCTCAGTCCTAAAACCATTCCCCCAACTTGTTGTTGAAAAATGCAGAACTGCTGTCAGCAGATCTGTGTCCAGTCCCCTGCTCCCTCTAGGAAACTAAACTCACCACCATTACCCTACTTTGAGTAGACCTAGAATGACAATTTGTGGGTTTCCCTCCTCACCCTTATTTTAATTCTTAGCTATTCCAGCCATTCTATTTAAAACAGAATTTTTGACACGTTTATAGCAACTGCAGTTTTATTGCAATTTTAATAACAAACTGGCAGTCTTCACTACTTGAAGGTGAAAGGCTCATCTGAGAGAAACCTGGAGTGGTTTTCACTCCAGGCTCCAGAGGGCTTTAGCTCTCTAAAGTACTGCACTAAAAAGTTGAGAAAACAACAGAAGAACCTGACTTTGGTTCTCAGAATTATTTTTTTCTCTCCTATAAGTTTCATTTCAACATCCAGCAGTTGTGGGGTTTGAGTTTAGGAGTAGCTAAAAGGACAGGGAGAGGTTAGGAAGGAAAAAACGTTAACATGAAGGTGGAATCAGCTGGGTCTGTAAAAGGGGGAGGGGGAGAGTGAAGCAAGGGGGAAAACCAGAACATCCTTTTTGAAGTACAATATATTCAAGTCAGCTGAGAATTCAACTGCTGACACTGTCCTTCAGCTTCTGGGAAGAGATCACTAGGGAAGGCTCGAAGGAAGTCACGGTAGTTTACCTTGTCTTCATCACAGGAACAGTAGTCAATCAGCTGTGGGGACAAAACACACAGCAAACATCATAAAGAGATGGAAAAAGGTGCAAAATTTGGGTTGTTTTTAGGGGAAACTGCCCAGAGTTCTCCTTGTGTGACAGAGCAGATGTTACTCCCCCCAGATGATTTCCCCATCCTGGTAGTCCTGAATCATAGGTAAAATTGGAATCATAGAACCATTAAGAATTGAAAAGACCAATAAGATCATTGAGTCCAACCTTTGGATCATCAAGTCCAACCATTTAAGGATTGAACTTCATGATCTAAAGGTTGGACTTGATGATCTAAAGGTTCAAGTCCAGCCTTAAATGCCTATAGATGACGCTAATCTATGCAAGGAGAAAAGTTAAAGCATTTGAGTTTAATCTTTATTTCTTTCTGGGCTTCACCAGAGTGGCAAGAAAGCCACAAAAATACAAAGCATGGCCACAGACTGAGATGGGCCACAGGAAATCTTGCAGAAATTCCTGCCAAAAGTGGGGTGAAGGCCATGTATGTGAACAGTCACTGTTCCTTGGTGCCACTTTGGTGTGTGCACATGGCATAAAGGGGAGACACAGATAACTGAGCTTGGTGACAGCCCCACTAATGAGCCAGTTCTGGTGTCCGTGCCTGACCCTGCATTGTGTTACAGAGCCACAGCCTTTGTGTGCTTCAGGGGAACAAAGAAGGCTTTTGTTTCTTTAATTGCATAACTAATCTCCTTCTGACACCAGCGAGATGGAAAAGGTCTAATATCGCAATTCCTTGAAAGGATTCCTCTTCTCCTTGTCACCTGGAGACAGATTCTCTGGGGTTTGCTTCTGTGACTGGCAGCTGTGCTCCTCTCCAGGCACTGAACTCTCTGCCATATGTTTAATTTATAGCCCTGCCACACTTCCCAGGGCTCTGGGAACACTGGGATTAAGATTTCAGGAGAGGAGGTGGAAGTTTTTAGTGCATAGGTCCTAGACTGGGGCTCAAACGTGGGAGTTTAGCTTCAATTGTCACAGGTTCTCCACATAATTTTGAGAATGTTCTCTCCCACTCTCAGAGTGGAGCAGGGATTGTCACCCCACTGTAAATTCCTCAGGGCAGAGTGAGTTCTGATGAGCTCTGATACAGCAAAGCCCTGGGTGCTTGTCAGGGCCTTTATTCATCCCACATTCAGAGACACAAGTCCCCTGCCCATGCACCTTCCTAACCATGGCTGTGATGCTCACAGTGGACTGCTTTAGAAAAGTTCTATTTTAGCAGGGGAAATATCTCCCTCTGGTTTCCAGATTACTCTAAAGTCTGACCCTCCTTTTTGGCCACTAATCTACAGCCCATCACATGAGGATGAGGAAACATCCTTGCCAGTCATATTCCTCCTCCATCCTCACTGCAGGAATTTTTCCCTCAGTTTCTCTCACTGTTTTTGTTTTGCAGACTATGCAAAGACTGTGATCTCCATGTGCTGCTGGTTGCTCATAGTGCCCAGCAAGTGCTAACCAGGGCCTTATGATGATGATGATGATGATGATGATGATGATGATGATGATGATGATGATAATAATAATAATAATAATAATAATAATAATAATAATAATAATTATTATTATTATTATTATCATCATCATCATCATCATCATCATCATCATCA